GGGAACTCAGGTGACTCCTCATGGAACGGAAGAACTATGGAACAAGTCACGTGACGATAAGGAAAGTGAGCACACGATAAGGTGATCATAGTGATCACCCAAAGTGAGCGCTCACCAGTATCCACTTAGTGATCACCAACGAACATGGTGATCAGGCAACAAAGGATATGTTCAGGATCAGGACTTGTATATAGGATGGACTCGAGCCGGGCTCTAGGACAGACTTCCCATAGCTTCTTCAGCAATTAACTTCGTATCAGGATTAACATCCGCTTTCAGCTATCACCTTGACAAGACTACGATTGATCACCGAAGCCTTACCTACCCTTACGATTGACAGACATAGCTTCCCTGAAGCTATCCCCGACTACGAATACTGTTACCAGTTCCGCAGCCTCAACTTCTGCAAACTACCCCTACGACTAGCTGGCCGTAACACCTACGTTGCTCATGAGTAGTATACCGACCTTATTTACCGCCGATATAACTATATAAGTAACGAGTAACGGGATAGCGATGGTATTGGAAGGGCGAAGAAAGCCCCTATCAAACCCCTTAAAGTTTATAAGAAGATATAAAGACTATATAGTATAGTCCTAATAGATACATAATAAAATAGAGCTAGACGTAAGGTATATTAGTAGTATGTTACGCCCGCCGCAACTTATCACTGTGGGCGCGTAGCTATATAATGCAGAACAAGGGAAAATGATGCGGAGTCATCATTATCGAAGCTTTTGCTTTGTGCCACAGTTGGTTGCCTTGTCCTGCTCGTAACACAGTAGTGCTAATATCTAGTACTTTATTAACTCCTACCTTAATAACGGGCTATAATAAGCTATAGCTACTTTCTATATAGTAGGAGGACTAGGTAAGTAGAAGGACTCCAGGGAGTTCCTAAAATACCTTGACCGGACATATAAGGACCTAAATACGGATATACGAATAGTAGTTACGCTATAAACCCTTTGCTAGCAAGATGTCACGGGCTGGAGCCCTGTGTGGGCTTAGGCTACGCCGTAAGCCTTACGAGCGCGCATTTAGCGCAATGGTCTGTTGTGTCTGCTGCCACATTTGCCCTTGTGGGGCTCACACCGTTACAGTTGCCGTACCACGGGGTCGTAGTCGTCCCTCCCCTTACGGCCATTCTAGAGCTACTAGTATCTCCTGAGGTCTCCCGACTTCTTAAACGTAATAATATAGTGTTCTTAGGGTGTCTTGGGAATCTCTAGAAGTAGTAGCTCCTATAGGGGGGCCCGTAGGACGTCTATGGCTACTGGAATAACTAGCAATAGGTTCTTAAGTAGCTTACTTATAACCACGGTGTTACGACCCAACATGAAGACCAGGGCGTGCCCCGCTGACGCCTAGCGGCTACGGCGCATCATATATGCAGGACGGGACGGAACATTGGGGAAACCCCAGGAACGGAAGAACTATGGTACAAGTCACGTGATGATAAGAGATATGATAAGGGATAAGGATATGTTGGATATGCGACATATCCAACCGAGTCAAGGATATGTTGGATATTCGGCATATCCAACATATCCAGACAAAGTGGACTGTTCAGCACTGCTCAGTTAGGATCGGACTTGTATATAAGGATGGACTCGAGCTGGGCTCTAGGACAGACTTTCCATAGCTTCTTCAGCAATTAACTTCGTATCAGGATTAACATCCGCTTTCAGCTACTACCTTGACAAGACTACGATTGATCACCGAAGCCTTACCTACCCTTACGATTGACAGACATAGCTTCTCTGAAGCTATCCACGACTACGATTACTGTTACCAGTTCCGCAGCCTCAACTTCTGCAAACTACCCCTACGACTAGCTGGCCGTAACACACGGGCCATAATCCTACTGCCCTCCATCCGGAGCATATATTCCGACTTATTAAAGCTTCTTCCCGTGCCTGAAAGTAACAGCGGAGGATCTTCTACTTCCCTATAGGCGCTAAGTTGAGTTAGAGGCCGTACTCGCGGATAAGCTTGTAGTAGGTGTTCTTGAGCGGCGAGAGATAGATATATCTAGGGGCTGCGTGATATGGCTAGAATGGGCTAGTAAACAACACAGCTAAATACCCTGAGAGTAACATTGCTACATAAAGTCGTCAGAAACATGACTTCCGTGGCCGTCGATAATCAAGAGCCGCTTAGAGCATAGTCTCTTGGCCTCCTCTACCGTACCAGGTATAAAGACCTTTTGTAGCCATTCCACGCCAATTGAATTCAAGGTCCACCCATTGGCCGACGATGTGAAGCTCCAGGAGGCGTAATCCGTCAATTCCTCAGGGAACCACTGGTGCTGGACCGTCTCCCCCTTAAAAATCACCAATGGTGGAAGGTGACGGCCACTGGCAGAGATACACTCGAATATCGTAGTCTAAGTATGATCCCTTGGGTTCTGGACATAGATCGTTTACTTCTTGGACTTGCTTAGTACTAAATAATCCTTACTGGTCCCTTCCGTTAAACCCGTTTCGTCCATATTCCAGCGGAGGGACATTGGGATCTTCTGGATTTCTGGGATTGTTAGGGTCTTCCAAAAGGCTTGCAAAGACTCAACGGTAACCGACTTAACGCGCTTAGAGGCCATTGACCGTGCCCTGAGCGTCTTTAGCGAGGGATTCCTACGTAGGAAGCCCTCAAGCCACTTCCTGCCCAGTGGGCGGTTGTCGCCACCTCTGCGGAGGATACGCGTCGCGAAGTCTCGTACTTGAGCATGGGTTGGGGCGAGTCCTAATTCTCCTTGGATAACTGCCCATCGTACTAGGGAGGTCTCCTGGTACTTGCTTAACCTCTGGTAGTCTTCCTTCGACTTCCGCCGCGTAGTTGCGCCGTTAATACGGCCCGAGAGCGTCGCGTAGGGGATTCCCCAGTCGGTAGAGGCCTTCCGGATCGACTTGCCCTCGCGGATATCGTTGACCGCGTTTTTCACTTGTTCTTCCGTGTAATTAGCCATGGTGAATCTATTGGCAATTTTAGTATAATATTTGCTCAAATTTTTTTTTGATTGATTTTGACGTACCTAGTGAAAGTGGTGGTGGTGTTGAAGGAGGAAAAAAAGTGGCCAAATTGGGTGATCGGTTGTGTGGGGTGACCTCTTACCCTCTTTACCGCCGCGAAGAAGGTACGCTTAAACCTGATGAGGTGGGTGTTGCTCGTTGAGAAAAAAGAGTTGACCTAAGCGAACGGGCGAATCAGCATCGGGACGTCACCTGAAACGGTGTCCGATGGTTTGTCAGATGGCCGAGCTGGTGGGGGCCGAGAAGGAAGGAAGCCAGTGCACGTGAGTGGGCGGTACGTTGCTGATGGTGACTACGAAGTAAGAGAATCTTATCCAGGCGATTGGCGGATGATGTACATCTGGGTTGGCGCTGCAAGGTACCCGATGGTGGCACTAGCTTTTTCGGAACTGGATGAACAGGGGGCCCGGTGGTATCCACCTTGAAAACTTGTGCGACGGTCGACCCGAATCTGATTGGAGAGAGAGAGATAGAGCGCCTGAGATCAGAGAAGAGACGTGAGGCTTGAGGCGCACGTTGGAAAATCTCCTGAAAGAATGATTGGCTGGCGCGCGCCGCCTGTCTACACCTGTCTCATTTCCCGCGTGCAGATTTCCAGCCGTTGGTCTTTCCTCTTTGGTCTCGTCGCGACTCCTGCCGTTTCTCTGTCTCTCTGGAACTGGACTGTCTCTCCCTGCCAGTGTCTGGCCTGCCCCTCCGAATGCCCCCCTCCACCCCCCCTCGGACGCGACAAGCCTCCCTGTTGCTTCTCTGCTTCTGGGGGCGGTCACGTTTGCCTGTCTTTCTCAAGGCTCCAGGGCCTCCTCCCACCTTCCAGGGCCCCCGGCACCCTCGCTCGGTGGAATCGTGGAGGCATCGGAGAAGGACCGCTGCAAGCCTGCAACTGGAGTCTGTATTCGTACGAATGGACGGGCTTGTCGTTGTTGCTGTTGACAGTGGCGGTCAGCGAGGCTGGGTTGAGATCAAGAGGTTGTTGCGGTGTCACCAAGTTTGCGCGAGAGAAAGACACAAAAGTACGGGATACTTTGGGCGCATAAACGACCACCAGTTCATCCCCTTTTCTTTTTCATTACCGTCCACTTGAGACGCCGCACGAAGGCCAGTGCCACCCTCTCCAAACAGTTCCAAACAGGAGCAGGAGTCGACCATTCCCGCTGCTTGAACCTGGTGGGCACTGGGAACAATGGCAAGCTGCCACACCACCAGTCCACCAACAACCTCGTCCACTCTCGTCCACTCTCGTCCAACATGATCCATTGGGGCTGCTGGCATCAACACCCCAGGGACAGTCTGTTCACCGACCAAAGCAAGCGAACGCCGACCACTGGCTGCTCTTGTGTCCTGGAAAGCCTCTGACCCGAAGCGCTCCCCCTCCAAGCCGGGGTCATCGTGGCTGGCCCTGTCGGCCAAGCGACTCCAAGTGGTTGCTGTCCAGGCAAATGAAATTAAAAGGAGGATCCTTCCGAATCTGTGCTGAGCGCACAAGTGAGCATCCTCTAGCCATCATCTCTGTCTCTCTGTCTCTCGCCCAGTGGCCCAGTCTGTCCATCTGCCCCGGGCCCTTCTTACTGAGGTGCTCTGTTGGACTGTTAGTGTTACCCGTAGTCTTAGTGTTGGTGTTAGTAACCCTCCCGGTTCCTGCCCGTGCCACCCTTCGCCTGTCCCGACTCATCCCCATGTACTCCTCCCCCGTCTTGCGACTCAACTCCCAGTCTCCCACTCTTTCTCTCCACTTCATCTCCAGTCTTTTCGCTGTCCCTCGCTCCGCCTCTTGTCTTTCTCCCGCAACGCTCTTTGCATCGTCGCTCGCTTTTTAGGTCAGGCCCCTCCAGCCCAGTCGCTCTTTTACACCTCTTTGTCACGATTCCACGTCCACAGTACTCTACTCGTCTCTCTCGCTCCGTCGATACTCTCGTTGTTCGTCGTCGATTCACTCTTTCGCCGACTTTTGCGCTCTCTCTCTCTCTCTCTCTCTCTCTCTCTCTCTCTCTCTCTCTCAACACACGATCGCTATTGAGTCTCTTGTCGTTCGGAAATTTCGAACAAGACTCTAATCGACCGATTACCTGATCGAACCACTCCAATCGCTAAAACTCACCCGGGAAATCCGCTTTCGCAATGCATATCCGCTCACTCGCCTCTGTGGCCTTCGTGGCCTTCGCCGCCCAGGCTTTCGCGCAACAACAGATCAAGATCTTCAAGCGCAGCATCACCGCCGGAAGAGACTTGGGTCTCATGCGCCGTGCCGACGACGGTTACCAGCCCGCCGACGAAGTCTGCAACAAGGGTGGTGACACCTGCGCCGAAGCCTGCGGAACCGGCTATGAGCAGTGCAAGTCCACCGATTCGGCTGTCCACTGCTTCAACCCGGCCGCCGGCGAGACTTGCTGCTCAACCACCACCGGAAGTGAGTTGATGCCTCATCTACTACAGCCTGCATCTTGAGAACTAACCCGTCCCATCAGACTCCTGCTTGTCATCTTTCTACTGCACCCATGGCAGCAACACCGACACGACCTGCTGCCCTAACGGCATGAACCTCGCCGACTGCGCCGCAAAGCACGGCGTTAGCGGCCTCACCTCCGATCCCCCCGTCGTCGCGAGCACTTCTGTTCCTCCCACCACCAGCAAGAGCAGCACCGTCCCCCCGACCACCAGCTCAACGCCGGCACCGCCCACCACCACCTCGTCGTCGGTCGTCGTCGCTACCACCTCCAGCACTCCCGCCCCGTCTTCCACCCTCGCCCCCACCACGTCCGAGGTCCCCACCACGTCCGAGGTCCCCACCACGTCCGAGGTCCCCAGCACTACCGAGGTGACCACCGAGATCTCAACCACTTTTGCTCCTAGCGCCGGCACCAGCACAGCCTTCGCCTCAAGCAACGGCACCACCCTGGCCACGACATCAACTCGCTCCAGCGCGAGGAATACCGTCTTCCCTTCGTCGGCGACCACCTCAGCGTCTGCCCCCGATCAAAACGCTGGAAGCAGCAACGGGCCCGCCGGCATGGCCGTCCTCCTCGGCGCTGCCTTTGTCGCTGCGCTGCTCTAATTATGTACGACTGGCTCATTTGGAAGCACTGGCCTGGTGTTGACTCTAATCTGTTGCTCACGCACTTCATCTGTCGACACCAAGCAAGTGTGCCATGTGTCACGAGTTTCATGAAAACGAAGCAGCGGGCGGCGTTGGGATGTTAATGTTGGCCGGAATTTTGCTGATGCTTATGATTCCCCTGATCACTTGAAATGTACGGAGCGGCTTGATGAAACTTTTGATGTGTTTTGCTTTTTTTTTGGCGATGGTGTTTCTGGATACGAAGACGACTTTGGAGGAGAGATTTTGATTCAATCAGCGCTTATATCCTGTTTTTTTGTATTTTTGTGAGCACCACATTTTGTGCTGTTCACCTGTACTTACAATTCCCCCCCTTCCATTTGGGCGAGCTTGGGAGACCTATATACTTCCCCAGCTCGATGAAGCCCAAAAGTATCATAAACCCTAATATCCTTCTGGGACAAACAATAGCATCACAACATTGCACGCAGCTGGCTTATGTTCCCATTTCTTGACCCCGAATGTGTATTCGAGATGTCTCTACGTTGTGACGTTTGACCTCCCCGGTGCTAGGTCATCTGGGACCAACCGGCATTATTGACTATACTCTCCAATCTAGGCTATCATTGAAAAAATCGAAGCAGTCTATAAAGTTCAGTCCTGTAGATGAAGGAGAGGCGGGGCGGGAGCCAGGCTCAAAAGACGGGGGAAACGGTATGGACAAGAAGGAAAAGTTGTAGGACTATCCAGGATGGAAAGTCAGGAGTAGAAGACAAAAGCGCGGCCCCGAGAAATTCCATTCCGTTCCGCAAAGATAAAAAAACGTGCCCCGAGTCTGCCGGTGCCAATAATTAGCGGGGCCGATTAAAAGTGAAATGTCGCCGGTAAGGTCCGACGGTTTCGACCGCCGGAGCCGGACTTGACGTGAAATCCTCTCCCGGCCGGCCCCGGGGACTAATGAGACGGGGATGTGGAGTTCATTCTTTCTCCCCACGTACAGTAATCTTTCCGGATCCGTCCGCGTGGTCGACGACGCTTGTGTTCAGCCTTTGAGACTAAGATAAGGTACGCATGTGACATGCAACGGCGTTCCGCAGCAAGGGGGTCCGATGGAATCACTACCTAGTATGGTACCATCCGCCGATGTGGCTTTTTAGGCAGACCGCCATTTTTGACAACGTTAGATTATGCTCTTGGCGATGGGGTAGGTGTATCTCGCATCAATACCTCACTCAAACGTGCCATCAGACAACAAGACCCAAAAAGTTCAAGAATATTTGATATCAGCGCCTGCTATCCCAAAATACTATGCGACCGGGTATCATAATTGATGCTCTCTACAATGACAAGTCCACCTCTTCTTCCCTATAGCGCCAGCCTGATATGAGCAAGTCTCATCACAGTCCTTCATTCCATGGCCGCCAGAACTGGTTCCTGAACGTCGGCATACACTTGACCATCGCCGGCGGCTCCTCTTGCCAGTTGATCTTCGGGGGCTCTCCATTGGTCTCTGTAACGGTCCAAGCCGACGCAAAGCCTCTCTCTTCTTTGATTTGTCGTCCGTCTTTGACATTGTATGCCAGGCTGACGCTCGGTATAACGGCGATCTTGCCGTGACCCAACTTCCACAAATCCTTGCACAGCAGTGTCGGCTCGCCGGTATGGCACTCCCCTTGATACGACCTCCGGAAGTCAATCTGCTTCTGCAGGAAGGGCTCCCCAGTCACCGCAACGCCTCCGTTCCAGCACGCAAACACCTGCAGCGGCTTACGGCTGAGGTATCGATCCTGGGAGTACGGGTGATTCCAAAACATGTTCGCCACGTCACTCCACTGTTCTCCCTTGGGGGTTCTATCGGGTATCGGCAAGAACGTGTCGCCATTGATGGCGCGAGAGATCCATGAATCGTAGAACGATGGTTCTCCATTATGCGGCGCGAATCGGAGGAAGTGGTAGTCCATCGCGCAGGTCATATCGGCTCCCTGCGTCTGCTTCTGGTATGCCAGCTCTAGAATATCCTCGGGGCATGCGGCAACGTCGTTGAGGAAAATAATCGTCGCCTTCGGGTCGTAGGCATCCGCCTCTGCCATCATGGGTTCCAACGCCAGGTTTCTCAGCTTGGCGAGCTTGCCGATACGGTCGCCACTATGGGAGTCGATGCTGCTCGTTTGTAGGTGATAGGAAACTCCCATTTGGTCTAGGTGGGATTTGAGGCGGTAGAGCGTCTCATATGTGCCGTCGGTGGAGATACCCTCAACGATGGAAAGGGCGCAGTTCTCCGGCCCGATGATGTTCATTGCCTCCAGAACAGCTCCTATCAACTGAGGCAGAAGATCTCTGACCTGTCGCAAGTCAAGAGCAAAGAAGTAATGCCTCTTGTCCATGTTCATAGTTGGCCGCAGTACTTCATAGCGAGTAACGTTTGTCGCTGGGCAGTTCACGATGGGAAATCCGCCATTCTTAGGATCAAGAATTGCTTGGACATATTGACTTGCTTCGCCAAACTTGTCTGGCCGACCTTCGTAGAGTGCTGGTTGGACCCAGTTGGGCGAAGAGTCGTTCATCCAGCTGCCACCGTACTCTGAACCTAAGTTAGCACCCCGCAGTGGCAAAAGGGCTATCAGCGTGACTTACGTTCTGCTGTCCAAGGTATTACAAAGTATTGGACAAGCGGTTGGTGGAAGAGCAAGAAAAATCCGGTAATGAGGATGAAAACGATGATGGCGATGAAGGGCGTCCGAAGCCGCCTCGGATTATGAAAGTTCGCAATCATTATGTATGTACAGTTCGTGTTTGGTGAAATCGCAATGTACTGGATCAAGTTCGACTAGCTGGCGTACGGCGGTGGCATGCGAGTTTCTTTTGAGTATGGTAGCAACAGCAGCTTTGGAGGACGATGCCAAGGGAATTATGAGCGCACGCCAACGAGACTGGATCGAGTGAATATGCAGGTTGATGACTCCAACGCAGTAAAAGAGAAGATGCCAAGATCGATAACCTGAAAAATGGATGAAGGTTGGGAGGAGGGGGGCTAGAAGTTCATATCAGGTCCCGGTGGGCAGGAGCACTGACGAAAGTTAAAGCAAAGGTGATCTGGAAGGCGAGTCGAACTCGAAACCTCCCGACAGTTCGTTCTTTCTGTTTCTTGATCGGAACTCTCGGCGACCCTGCAGGAAGAAGAAAAGGTTATGGCATGAGGGCAAAAAACGGAAAGGACTGGTGTTGGGATTATAGAGTTCTGCGTAGGCGTGACCCAAGAGCAAGCAGCTCACATGGCCTGGAGTGGCAAAATGCAGCTGAATGAAGCCTGTGAGAGATAGAAGCAGTTCCCGCCGAGTTCCGTGAGAAAAGGTGTTTAGGAGAAGAGACGGAGCCCGAGCGATGCGAGGCGCAGCGATCCAAGAGTCGGGAGCAACTAGGATCTTGGTTGGGAAAGGAGGAACGCAAAAGACATCGAGCGGTAAGGGGAGAGAGAGGAAGTGAGATGGAGGTCAAAAGTAACATGAACACCTTGATGCCGACGGGACGGGGAGCACCTGCTTTAGTTTATGTTGGACAGCACGCACTGCCTTACGCACGCACAGGGAGAGAGAGAGAGAGAGAAGGCGGAGTCTGACTCTGGAGACTCGAAAGCCAAGGACTCTAAAGGTAAGGAGGAGAGCGGGCCAAGTGGTGTTCCTGGCTGTGTCTGGTATGTGTCAACTTGGCAGGATGCGCCTCACACCGCACACGTACCGGTGCGGATACCTGTACCATGTTTGGCATCTGTAGCCAAAAAGGTACATCCCAAGGCAATAATAGGAAAGTAAGAGTGGGCTCGCCCTACCCGGATGCACATCGCACATTGTGACCCTCGAAAGACCTCCACGGACCAGGGAGGTAAAGGAGGGAACGGACCCAGTCCCGTCGTTGCAATTTGATAATAACCTGTCAAGTGTCCACATGCGAATCCTGCCATGCCAGGTACGGCTATGTACTCTGCCCACTTCATCAGCTTTTTACTTCTTTTTTCTTTCTTCAATTCTGTTCTTCGTCTCACCGCAACATACGGAGTAAGGCAATGCCTTTTCTCTCGCTCTGCGACACTTATGCTGCGCTGTGCTTTGCCACGGTCGTTGTTCCGAAGCCGGAGACATGTGGCAGGAATGCGTTCTGCTGAGGCACGACGAGTACACACGGTTCCTGAGAGTTCCACGTCTCGTCACGACATGTTTCACCCTCTGCTTCTCTCTTGCTCGCAGCCAACCTTACAGTTTACCCAAGTACCTCATCAAACAAACAATAAGAACAATCGACGGCATTCACGATGGAATGTTCTGGTCTGCGAAATTGATTCTGAAGACAACACCTCACTGACCAATGTTCCAGAAGTTGGAAGCATCTCTGAGGTGTAAAAATCCCCAGTGTAACCCCAGATGCCCAAAAGTAGCCAACCAAGAAAGCTAGCTAGCTCATTGTGGCTTACCCTGCTCTCTGGAGTCGCCCGGTCTAGCGGCAACATCGCCCGGCCAAGCCCCTGGGACACGCATCGGCCCCCGGAAAGGTACATGACACTTTGGACAAGTTAATTACAGCTGAGTGTATCCGTACGGCTACCGGTGGGAGTACTGGAACTCTGTATCCGTACCTTGGGCTGTCTGTTTCGTGCTCTTGACACATCCGCAAACAAGATGCGCGACGAGGTCTCAGACACACTGCGCATACAAACTCAACCCATTCAAACATCGGATCACCAAGAGGCACTGGTCCAGTCAAACACTTTTGTTTCCATCCGTCTGTGCCTCTTCGCATGGGCCAAACCTGGAGTTCTCTCTTGGCCAATGCAGCAGTGCGTCGACAATGCACGCTCCTGTTCAATGTTATACATTTGACTTCTTTCCGGGATCGACCACGGCTGAATGGTGCCGATCCTCCCGCCCACAATCTCCCGAGGTTGCAGCTGGAAGTATCTGCAAGACTGCAAGCAGCTTTTCTCCTTCTTGGGGCCTCCTAGCTACTGATCTTGCCCAGTAAGAAAAATGCTGCAGCCTGGCACAGGTAGCCGGCAGTGTCATGACATTCCTTGTCATACAATGACAACTTCTTCTCTCGATACCACCCAATCCTTGTCCCGTCTGCCGAACAGCCAGGCGGCATTAACCAGCCATCGACGCGACACCGATCGGCTTTCATCCACGCTTTTTCTGACGAACTCGCATTCATGTCGAGTTTCCCAGCAAAGCCCATGGCCGGCTTGGCTTGTCTTGCTGAAACTAGCCGTCTTCGACAGTCGAGAGTGAGGACGGGCCTCGCGCCCTTTTGACAGCTGAGGCATCGGGAGAATCCTACTTCAATGAAAGTAGTTGAGGGTTGACGTTGAGGCAATGCCCCAATTTGGCCGCGGCCGCTATCCCGACCCGACTGGACGGGCCGGCGCAGCTGCAATCAATCGACTTACACACCCGAAAATAGCATTTATTTTGCGTTAGCTCTCCAGCTGCCATAATCAAGCGAGTGAGTACTTTGTACTTTTCCTGATCTATGCTTCTTACACTGTGAATACGCAACGGCCTCATCTTTGACCACTTTTTAAAGTCATCATGAGTATTCCTTTGCGGTCGGACTGCTCATTGGACTCGTCGAGTCTTCGGCTTTCAGCATCGCTAGACTGAAAAGCCGAATACTTCATGCGAACGAAGCCAATAAAGAGACATGAGCTGGACGGAGACAGTGGACAACTGTACTCGACGCGCGGATTCCGAAATGCCCACATATACGTAGTACGACGAACTACACGTGTGCTGGGCGGATCACGCCTGACTCGCCAGTCCAATCGACTGGTCCAGTATTCGTCTGCCTTGGGTACGGGGTTCTAGTGTATTCGTACGAATGCGCCATGTCCCTACGCAATCATATTCCATTGCAATTTCCTCAGTAGCTGGGACTTTGGGCACCGTTCTAGATTCTGGCCGAGCCATGGTGGGCCTGGGCAGTTTCTCTTTTCTACAGACTTAGCAGCTTCGTCACCCTCTTCGCAACACTCTCCTCGAACTCGGTGACGCCGTTCTCCAGCCTCGTCATGTTTCCTTGTCTCAACTTGTACACAAGCCGTCGTCTGGGTATCCCCTTTTCGTCTTCATCCTCTTCGCTGTCAGAGTCCTCGATAAGACGCTCAACTGCTCCGCGCATGAACCACCGATCGTGACTGACGAGCACCACTGCACCCTCCCAGTCTCTGAGTGCTTCACGCATGGCCGTGACAGTCTCGTAGTCGAGATGAGTAGTCACTTCATCGAGGATTAGACAGTGTGGTCTCCGCCAGAGAAGACGGGCGAGTTCGCATCGCACCAGCTGCCCTCCCGATAGCTTCCCAAGAGGTATATCGGAAGCAACGCGACCAGGCAGACCGAGGCTGCCCAGAACGCCACGGACTTGACCTTCATCCAGTTCCCCAGCAACTTCTTCAATGAGCATCGACAACGCCGTCAATGAAGGATCGGCCCGGCCCTGTTCTTGCAGAACATCGACGGCATGCTGCGAATAGTATCCCAGCTTCAGTCGCGGATGCGTCGTCACTGCCCCTGACGTGGGCTTCGTCTCGTCAACTAGAAGTTTAACCAAAGTTGACTTCCCGGCGCCGTTCAATCCGAGGATGCCAATTCGGTCACCCATGTGAACAGACAGGTTTATATCTTGCAACACTGTTGGTGCCGCCAGCTTCGTCTTTACCTTAGTTGGATAGCGGAATGTTGCGTTCTCGACCGATATGAGAGGCCCCGGGAATCGGAGATCTAGAGGTTCCGGTAAGACGAAGCTCACCGGTCGCTCGTCCGGCGGGACATCGATTTCCTCACGGGCTGTGAAGTGGTGGCCGACGAGGTCGCGGTTCAGCTTGAAGCGGCCGCCTTTGGCACTGACCGTTAGACCCCACCGCTCGTCGAGCTTTTTCTGGCGGGACTTGGCCTGCCGCAGCTTGTTCTGGTCGTCATTGGCCTTGCCTGCTTTCATGTTGTTGGAAATGCTCTGCTGGATATGAGCCTTTTGCTTGTCTTGCGCATCCTTCATTTTGGTCAACCAGAGTTTCCGCTCCGACTGGGATGCCTCATGTGTTGGAAGATCACCGTGGAAGTACGTCAACCCCTTTTCCTTGAGGATAAGGAGATCACTGCAAATGGTGATGAAGTCTCTGTCGTGGGACACGAGAATGAGCGTCGGGGCTTCGTCCGTGTCTTGAAGAGACCCGAGGTACCGCTGAAGCCAAATGATACCAAGAAGGTCAAGGAAGTTGGTGGGTTCGTCCAAGATGAGGATATCAGTCTCCTGGAGCAGCGATATGCAAAGCGCCGTCCGCATCCGCCACCCGCCAGATAGGCTGTTGACAGGTTTTGACATGTATGCCTCAGAGAACCCCAGGCCTGTCAAGATGCGCTTGGCTTTGGACTCCGTCTCGGCTACTTTGGACGGCTCGACTTGCAATTGGAGATCTGCGAGCATGTCTAGTGCCTCCTGCGTCTCACTCTTGATGGTTTCGGCCGATATCTCATCTTGCGGCTGATTGACCCTGCTTTTGAGTCAGCAGAACCTCAGAATTGAATAGGAATGGAACCCACGTACAGCGACTGAGACTCGGCGACTTTCTTCTCAAAGGCCTTTAGGGCTTTGCGTGCTGCCAGGCCGCGGTCTCGGCTACGCAACCTTGCATTCTTGTCGACTTGGAAGAGGTGCTTTTGGTTTCTCTCATGACGGAGAGCGCGAATCGCGCGTACCGGGCCGACGGAGTCTGTGCTATTGATTCCATCGGACAAAGCTACGAAAGTTAGTTCCCAGTCGATGGAAGGATAGAGGGCTACGGCGGCAAACCTCTGATTTCTTGTTCGACATCCGACCGCGCAGTCGCCTGTTCAATAACATGCTCCAACACAGTTCGGCTGCTCTGGGCAGAGCCATCCACCGGAGTAGGAGTAGTAATCGAGTCGTCGTCTTCAGGACGCACGTCCGAGTCGGTGTCACTGATGCTCGTTTGCTGGAGAAGAGATATCCGCGTCGCCTCGGGTATACCGGGGATCAGCTTCTCGGCGATGGCTCTGAGAAGTGCTTGACGACCGGTTCGTGTCAATGATATTCGGTAGAGTGCTTTTTTACAAATTGCTTTCGGTGGACTCACTCGATTTGCCTGAGCCATTTCTTCCGACGAGGGCGTATCGTTGGCCGGCCTTCAGACGCAGCTTGGCGTCGACTAGGATCTCGGTCCCCTCGCTCCGGGCTTTGGACTTGCCCTTGGCACCACCACTAGGTTTGCCAGCCGAGGATGTGACGGTGATGTTGAGGCCGTCAATGTCCAGCTGTGAGAAGAGAGAGAGAGAGAGGCTTTTTGTTAGCTGGACTGCACGCTCGCTCCGGGCAGAAATACTGGGGGTGGGGAATTTACTTCTCGATAATCTGCTGTCTGGATGTTGAAGCGCGTCTGTTTGCTGGTGCAGAGGATCGTGGCCACGGACTCGGACGCTATCGACGTCATTGCTGTGACTTTTTTGATTGGACAGTTGATTGAACTTAATGAATGGATCACTGAAGGGATGGACTAAATCGAAGCGAAAACCGTTGACAAGATGAGTGATTCCGATGCTGTGCCTCAAATCCGAGGTGCTAGGGGCTTTGTTCTCATTATATTTGGTTTTTGTTTCGTTCTCTAGCTTTTGCCAAGACTACCTCCCACCTAGCATCTTGTCCGCCCCCGGTGCTCGCGTTGCTTCCCAAAAACCTTGCGAATAGTATGGCACGGGAGGGTAAGGTCGTCTGGCTTTCCAGTTTGGTGGCGTTGTACCTTTTCCCTGCAATGACACTGCGAGGTACGTACCCCTCTCGCCTTCATCTCGGACTTGGAGTCGCGGTCCAGGTGAGGTGGTTTGGCTTGCCAGCTTGCGTTTGGTGTTCTCGGCCTCCTCCGCACAGAGTGACTCACGCCGAACACTGGACGGAGCCCTTTGAGACTCCCGGCCGCATCTACGGGGGCCCACTCCTCCCAATAGGAAGGGGGAGCCACTGCCGTATGGCATCCACACGGATAGCCAAGTCTGCGGAGTAGTCCGCCCTTCTTCTCCCTTCCCTCCCCCGGTCACGATTTTCGGCCGCCTCACAAACCCGGCCGGGGTGACTCAACCGCGGGACTCGACCGGCGACCCCCTCTCTTGGGCCGAACTTGACTCGGATCCGAAACATGAGCCGCTAAACATTGATGAAATCTCGTGAAATCCCCCCCCAACTCGTTCATCACAACAACGGAAGCGACGCCAAAAACTCCCTCGTCTCCTTCGCATACTCCGACTCCCCATCAGCAATCTCATGAATCTTCAACTCCTTCCTCGCCCACTTCCTCGCCGCCCCAAACTTGCCCGACCTCGACGCCGCGTAAGAAGCATACTTATACGCCTTGCCCAAATAATCCACCAACCCAACCTCCTCAACAAGACCTACAAGCTTCTCCGCATAGGGCAACATATCGCCTCCAAACGCATCGCTCCCGAGTTCCCGCTCAATAAGCCCCATCAACCTCTTCATCTCCACCCTCTTGTCGTCGTCGTCCCGCGCCTCGCACGCGGCACAATCACACGTGAACCCCCACTGCGCAAGCCTCGCCCGCCGGGCATCCGTATCCTGCACCAGCGGCGCGTAGGTAATCGTCACCTCCTCGCCGGGGAGGATATCCCGCCCCGCCCAGATGACCCTCCGCCCGCCGACCGAGGCGGACCCGGCGTTGGGACGGCACGCGTGGTTTAGTTTGGCAATGTGTGGGAAGATGCCGATTTCGCCAGAGGACATGGTGAAGCCGTTTGTGCGGAAGACGAGGGCTTCGTTGCTGATGCCGTCGTCTGCGCCTTGGGGTTCGCGGTGGGCCGGGCAGGAGAGGTACGCTGCGCGGGCGGAGGCGTTTAGCGTTGAGAAGGCTTGGTCGACGAGCTCTGCGATGGCGGCAAAGGCGAAGCCGCGGCCTTGGTGGAGGGCGCCTGGGTTTATTGTGAAGATCGGGGTTTCGTCTATTATTATGGTGCCGCGGGGGATGGTGGTGAGGGCGAAGATGCCGAGGCCTTTGCCTGGGGAGGGGCGGACGTGCCAGAGCCCGGATGATGATTTGAGATCTACGGGGTGGGTTAGTGAGTGAGTGTGAGATGGGGTGAGTTTATGAGTGAGATGAGTTTGTGAGTGATGTGAGGTTATAAGTGAGGTGAGATGAGTTATCTTGAGGTAAGGTTATGTGGTGATGTGAGATGCAAAGAACCTACTCGTTCCATAACGAATCCGCGCTTCCTCCGAGTCGCCCAGTCCATCAGGTACGGCACCCTCATCAGCAATAGCTCCATCTTCCGTACCGAGACCGCCGCCGTACTGGGATGTGCCGTTGTCCCTCATGCTACTTTGCAATGATGCAAAGGTTAACGGATTCGAGGCGCATATACGATCCCGAAGCTGCGCGTCATCGTTGTCGCCGGTCGCCAAGCCGCGCGCGGCGTCGAGGGCGCTGATGTCGTCGTGACCGCCGTCGCATGCGAGCGCGCCGGCTGGGTGGTGTGCCGCGGCTGCGAAGGAGAGTAGCCACACGGCGATATTAGATGATCTCATGATTTGACTCTATTAATTTGGATTCCTGCAGAAATTGGTCTTGTCTCGGTGAGGGAGGGGATGAACACGCGCACGCCACGCCGAACTTCAGATGAAGGATCTTGGATCTGTGTTTGGTGATTGTAGTTTTGTGGTGTTTTGGCTGTTTTCCCAGTGAGGAGTATCCGTACTCACGGCCAATTCGCGCCGTGCCGTGCGCCTGACATTCCCCCCCCATTTCAGGCTTCAATTGGTGCTGGAGAACGTGAGCATGGAGGTTGGCGTTTACAGGGGACAAGAGCAAAAGTCAAAACGGATCTGCCGTCGCAGGATCGTGTCAACGCGGGTTCGTGGCGTTCAAGGGGCCGTTGCTGAAACAAGCAGCGTTGGTTGAATACTTCCGACAACCCTACCCCCCTCTGATCCTCCATTTCTTCATATTGCAATAGCAAAATGACAGGAAAACCTCGTGCACTAGCAAATGTATGATAATTTCAACATTGGATATTTCGTCGTTTGATATTGAGATGAAATCGACTTACTCGAAAAGTAGAGAGAAGAGGAACATGTCCTTGAGGTTGAGGGGAGGTTCAACTAGGGGCAGTTTTTGTTTCATCCCCCCTGTAAGACTAGACTACTAGGTACTATCTCCAAGAGCTATTGACTCCCAAAATTCTCTCCTCTCTTCCGCAGTAGTACAAAGCCGCGGTATAGAAGGGTACGATGACAATCCATTTTGCCATAAAAGTTTCGTTGCGGCTTTCCAACTACCTTAGACGACAAGCGTGAAGCAAGGTACCAACTTGCCTCATTAGTGACGACTTTGCGACATCGCCATTGAGCCCCCGAAGGTATGCGAATGATTAAAAGAACGCTCCTCAAATTGGTGGACTTAGACATGATGTCACGAAAGGTACCGTTTTCGGTTGTCTCTGCAACTGGGATCTTGTCCCTGTAGATCAATACGGGAAGTCAGCCGGGCGCCTCCGGTATGTCTTCCGGCGCTGGGTAGACCCACTTCCCCGGCATCCGGAACCGCAATCCTGACCACCGGTGCTGGAGGTGTATCTGCCGCAGACCGTGCGTCTGGACAGAATCCTTCCATTTTGGCTGTTATCTGAGTGAAATGTCGTGGGCCTGGGGGTTGTAACTTCAAGAGAATTGAGCAAGCTCAATCTCCTTAATGATGGCAGTCTACTCTGCCGTGTTCCTCATCGCCAACACCCTTCACCGAACCCTCTTCCTTCACTCGCCACGTCCGCCGTCATAATTATTTGTGAAGATATAGTGATGGTACTTCAGGAAGATATAGGAAGTAATCGGCCAGTATCAGGGCCTGTTCTCTCCTCGTCAACCTTGGTAACAAGTTCTAGCTTCCACAAAATAGCTTGAGAATGACGGCGTGAAGGCTCCGAGCTTGTGGATTTCATTTCTACTTCCGTCAGCTTCTACTCTTACGGTATCACCATATTAGAATAATACTCAGCACTACAACGACAAAGTCAGTATGGAAACTGCTGTGGGCCGCTACTCTCAATGTACACCAGGGCCAGGTAGAGCGGCTAGAACGACTTATAGAGGCTCTCTCTCTCCGGGCGCCTAGCCTGACTTTTTGATCAGATCGCCACTTGCGTTTTTTCGTGGCTTCCAAGTTTAGTAGACGGGAAACACGTCTCAATAGATACCCTCGGGTGGGGAGACGTCATCTGTGCTTGTTCTGAAATTCACGAATGACTACCAGAAAAACGAGATGATTGTAGGGGAAGCCGCCTCCTGGGCACCATCCATGGAGTTTCTGAGTTGATCCTGCTTGTGATGCTAGCGGTTAAACGTAGAAATCTGAAGCTCTAGCTTATCAGGCATGGTGGTGAACGAACACCTACAAGATGTCTTTCACGTCGTTTCAACTGCCAGCGTGGTTCCACTGATGGCCTCTGGTGTTGGAGTGATGACCGAGCTTCTTTCAATTTTGTTCCCTTGTTTAAGCCCACTGCTTTCAAGTATATCATGATGCCCTCTGGGCCAAGTAACAGATGAAGCCCTCGGTTCCCCGGGTCTGGAGGTGCGGTGTATCAATCTACTTGGTTACTTGCTATACCTACCTAGTATGTTCTGAACAACGGGGGGAGATTATTGATGTGGACGTGGTTCGTTACAGCCGGTTGCCAAAATATTTGTTTACATGACGACATAGACAACGTACGCTCTCTCGATCTCCCTGAGACCGTATCCCCTCAACTACTATGACTCACGTTTTTCTGCTGTTCATACCTCTATGCGCAGCCAGGTCTTTTCAGACAAGCCAGCAGCCTGGCCCAGACGCCTCTTCAGCCTTGTGGATATCTCCGTTAAACTTGTACACCTATCTCCGATAGACTTCAATAGAGACCGGGGAAAGAACACCCTTTGCACCGAATCCTCAAGGTTGATATACATACCCGCCGCCATGGTTTCCCACGTTGTTATCCGTCTAAGTTTCCGGTGCCCGTGCTACTTCAAACCAAGTCCATGTTTCTCCGACCTTGATGTGAAGTTTTGGCACAATGGCCGCCCAGAAACATGCTCGCAATGCCCTCCTTGGTATCCATCAATCCAACCGGGTTGAGCACATTAGGGCACGAAGAGTCATCAACCGGACACAGTGACGGAGAAACATCTTTCAGAAATCTACAAGAACTGGCACTTTTCCTCTTCTGAAATTGTTGTCTTCTCATCATTCCTCCAACTTACATACCACTTTCTGCATCTTCACAAGAAGTCAACCCAACCACTTACACCCACTTACTACTCCCAACCCACTTACAACCCAACTACACACAAACAACCCGACTTCAATCGTCAAGATGCAGTTCTCTACTACCCTCATCGCTCTCTCTGCGACCGTCTTCTTCGGCGCTCAAGCCGCTCCTACTGGCATGGTCAACAGAGACACCGGTGTTGTCAACAAAGACAAGGCTGTCATCCCAGAGGGTGCCACCGTCGAGATCAACACAGACAAGGCTGTCATCTCAGTGGGTGTCGGTAAGGTCAAGCCAGGCCTCCCCAGCCTCACAAAGGGTGGAAGCAACGTCAAGCCAGGTCTGCCCAACCTCAGAAAGGCCGACGACAAGGTCAACACAGATGTCCCCATCGTCAGAGAGGGTGGCAGGGTCGATGACACAAGCGTCCCCATCCCCAAAGAGCATGATGGCAAGGTCGACACAGACATGGGCAACAAAAAACCCACCCCAACCCCCGAAGTCAACCCCGACCCCAACCAAGTCGACGACTTCACCCAGAACTCGGGCGCCATCTGCCAGAGCAAGACCCATCCAGCCCACCTCCTCCACTCCTACGCACTCAAAGCCAACTCCGGAGTCAACGACGTCCCCAAGGTCTGCGGCGATCTCTGGTACAACCTTCATCGCTTCCCTGGCTGCGCCGCCGCTTCGCAGGCCAACTGCTATAAGGGTACCGAAGAGGGCTCCCTGGTCTGGCTCTTCACCGCCTCCAACTTCTGCAACCCCGGCATGGTCCAGTCAGCCTGGTACGAGGCTACCCACAACGACTATGGTGCCGCCGTGTGCGTTAATGTCAAGGAGTTGACTATCCGTTGAGGCACACACACACACACACACACCTCAGGTTGACAATGGAGCTCGTGGCTCTTGCTGTCTTGAAGGACTTGGGATAGGCATTAGGGCGTTAGAACCTTGGAAAATTAGGATACCCGGAATGATGGCTTAGGTTTCCCAGCGTTATGGAATTATGTATGGGTAGCGTCTCTGCTCTCGGGGCACAGATCACAAGAAGCGAATGGTTTGAGGCTTTGGGTCCTTGAAGGTTGATACCACACAGATTGGTTTGGTTTCAGCGTTATGAGATCGTGTATGGATGGCTTCTCTGTTTCTGGGGCAGGCAAATAAAAGTCATGCAGCGTTGATAAAAAGGTTCGATGCGAGACATGGGATACACCATACTGGAGTAGTGTAGAATAACCACACCACTACTAATACACTACATCCAAACCAAAGACTTGACTTAAAAGTGATCATCATTTGTGTGACATGAGTAGTTTCTGATGTTAATGAATTGAGAGCTCAGCCTGATAGATCAGTCATGGGATCTCATACCATTCTTACGCAGACTGGATCACAGGGCAATTGCTGGAGATATTCCGTCCCTGTCATGCGTCTTACAAGGCCTCGTGAAAATATCTTTCGGATTGGTGTCGGTTGAAAGTGGATATATCCGTGTATCATATTCATGTGGAATACTCATGTAGAATACTCACGTAGAAGGCCTCATATACCCCCTCAATCCCAAATCCGTCACCAGCACAGCAGGCGCCCTCTAGGTCGGGGGTCAGGTCAAACTGTGGCGTGGTGGTGGAATGGTTTATGGTCAACAATCAATTCACGCCAACCAGCCTACTCGACGACAGGCTCAGCGCATACAAAGAACCCGAGTTCGAATCCCAGCATGAGCACCAGAGATGTAGCCCCCAGTTCAGCACCGGGGGGGTGAACTCTTTTGCCTGGGCTGTTGAGGAATTATGCGACTCATTTTTTGTTTACCACTTATTCTACTCCCGTAGTGTCTGTCAATGGTCTTCCTCCACAGCAGCAAATAATATACGATTCTGTGTGTCTCTCCTTAAAAGCCCAGGAGTCAGATGTCGTCCCCTTCTAAGGGGTGATGCATCTGGCATTCCAATTGGCCCGAAATCTGACCTTTCATCACAAAGCTCTCCCGGGTTCTGAGATCCTTCGTATCGATCGTCTCTAATGAGGCAGGGCCATCCATCCTGTCTAAGACGGTGGATCTCCAGGCTTGTGCAAGCGAACTTGTAATGCTACGAATCATTCATAACGGTTGGAATGCTGTAATCATCATTAATCCGAGTAGAGACCTCCCACTACCCGAACGACGGCTTTGCTCATTATGTGAGATATTCAGTGTGTATCTCTGTCTCCGCGGCGAGGTTTCATCTATAATCCACTACATCTTTCAAATAGTAATGGCCTTTGTTGGGGGCGATCAACGACATGCCACACCTTGAATTGACATAAGATAGTTTTCTTTTGCATACCAGGGAGGTCTTTGCGACATGAGGACAAGACTCAGACGATTCTCACCTCCTGGTTATAATAACACTGCCAGGAATCAATATTCCGATGGCTTGAAGACTGCTTAAAGCCAATCTCACATCTTGTATTGTCCGTAAGAAAACGTAGAGTCATTACCATTGACACCTCTTGCCCGTCACTCCTTCATCACACATCCAACATCTTCAAACATTCTCTCATCCGTGTCCCTCCTTCATCCACCAACCTACACCACCGACCGATCAGCAAGAATCCCAAAAAGCGGCCTCTCCAGCGTCTCAACAGCCATCCACCCGCCCTCAGGAATCTCAACAATCGTCCCGTCAACACACACCTTCCGCCACCGCGGATCCGTCTCCCCAATCGTCACCCGAATCTCCTCCGCATCCTCGTACCCGAGATAGTCCTCCCTCCCCTCCGCATCCGTCCACTTCATACCGACGTGCGCCCCGTCTTTATACGCAGCCATCATGATCTCCATCGTCTTCTCCCCGCCCACGGCCCCGAAATGCACCAGCTTCAGCCTGCCCTGCAACGGCGCGCTGTCCGGCGCGATCGTGAACGTCTTTTCCAGGTTCGATACCATGGCTGCGAGAGCGTACCCGAACCTCTCGCGCTCCACGCGCCTCCGTTCCATGGTTCCGGGGGACCGCAACTCGACTGTGGCGACGTACGCGTGGCTTTTCTTGAGCAGCTCCTGCGCCACCATGCCGAAGCGCTTGTCACCGTACTTGCGGTACTCGGGCGTGTCGCTCTCCCAGACGAGCTGGGCGTGGAAACCGTAGCTGGCGACGATGGCGCCGAAGAGGCGATCGACGCTCGTGTCGTGGCGGGAAAGCGTCGTCTCATCACCCTCGCCCTCGGCCGGCGGCGCGTGGGGGCCCGGGTCGGCCGTGTAGGAGATGAGCCGGGCACCGGGGGAGAAAGAGGCGCGGAAGCTGGGGAGCGGGCGCGAGGTGCCGAAGAAGAGGGTGCGGAGGCCGAGCACCATGTGTGAGGGCCCCGTCTCGGTGTATAGGGGTTTGTGGAGCGAGTGGAAGCAAGCGTTGCCCGTGCCGAGGGGTAGGAGGGCGAGGGTCGGCAGAGTCGCGGTGGCGGGGGATGATGTTTCCTTCTCCTCTTCCTCGCACCCGTTTAGGAGGTCGACGACGCCACCATCGCCGCTTAAGAGGACGATGGTCTCTGTCCGGGTTAAGGAGGCCGAGCTCGAGACGGCTCGCCTGGCGGTCCACCTCTCCTTTGCGAATTTGCGGACGCTGTCGGCGTCTTCTGTTATCAGGACATTGAAGCTGGACGGTAGGCGCGTTGTGCCTTGGGCTGATGGCTCCTCCGAAGCAAAAGTGGACGCCAGGTCTCCAGATGTCGTCTTCTGCCCCGCGAGCAGAACCAGAGGCTGAACGACGCCGTCCCAGAACTTTGGCGCGTGACCCAGCCCGGACTTGGTAGAGACGACAAAGTGCACGTCATGAGTTTCCGGTCTGGGCGTGAGATGCTCCGGGAAGTGTGGAAGCAGGAGGTCGCCGCTGGTGAGTTCGGCAGGCAGGTCGCCCTCCTCGAGCAGGATAATGTCGAGCTGATAAGGGGATTCCTTGGCCTCGGTGTCTTCTCTGAGGACGCAGATGACGGGATCCGAGGCCGGATTGCTGTTCGCCGGGACGATAAAGATTATCTCTTCTGGGCGAGCAGACTCACTGCCGCTTTGAGTGGTGAAGGTGAGTTTACCGTCGGTGAAGGCGGCATCGCGGGCGTGGCGGGGTACGAGGCCATCAGCGCGGGGCTCACCCAAAGGCTCGGCGACGTCCACGTTGCTCATGTTGGTCCTTGATCTCGAAAGAAAGCAGTTGATCTAGAATTCTCAAGCCAGAAAAGAGTGTGCAAATCTGTCGCCTTAAACCCCCTTTGTCAGTGATGTTTTGATATGGCGATACGTTGATGCGAGGTTTATCAACACTTGAAGGTGCAACCAGGCAACCGGCCAGCAGGGAGGAAGGCGCTGATGGACCAAAAACAAGACGAAGCCTCTTCAGGCAGGTGGCCGTCAGGTACCTCCTCCTCTACAATGCGGTGAGATCTCACTTAGTGCCTTGGGAGTAAGCCCGGATGCACTGGAAGCGCAGGCGTTGGCAACCCTATCCCAAAATCCCGGTTAGCGATGAATAGTACTAGGTAAGCGTGAGGCCCTCCTTCCTGGAGTTGAGACACACACTTCACTTACAAATCGTCTCTTGAACAAGTTACATGTGGCTGGTGCTGTGGATGAGTTTGTGAGAATATGCCATAGACTCAGCGATTGCGTTATTTCACAGGCATCAAGCGCACCAAGCTAACGGGATCGGAGTCATCCCGGGGTAAGGGCAGCGGGGCACCAAAAGCCTCCCAGAAAACAGCGCCTGTAGCGAGGCCCAGCAGCCAAGCCAGCCGGGGCCGGGTGGCGGCCCTTCCGCTGCCACCGCCCGAAACACCGACCAATCGACCCCCGAAACGCCGCCCGAACCATGTTGCACAGGCCGGCTATTCACCTTTCCTGACCAGACCTTATTTATCACATAGCAATTCCACTCTAGTCGCCCCGTTGCGCACGCAATAAATGCACAAAAACGACTCCCAACACCCCACAAATCACTCACGCATGCGCAAAAAGCCAAAATGATGGGAGCGGGGTTCGAACCCGCGCACTCTCACGAGTAACAGAGGTGCTTACTAAGCTTAAATCTGTCGCCTTAGACCACTCGGCCATCCCACCGTATGGATTGCAACTTGGGATAAGAGAAGCGCGAATTGGCGCCTATGCTTGGTTGCTAACTTGGGGTTTCCGCGACCTCCGCCAGGATGCGAGATTGCGCGTTCGGGAAGGGACGACGCGCAGGCTGGAATAGCCATGAGATGACGTCGATGATTTAATCGTCCTGGTAGGTGCGAATGGGGGCACCTACCTGCCAAAGTTGAGGAAGGTCGAGTCGTATTGGAGACATACGCACCTGTGACGACTTTGCGTCAGTCTCCGGCTCTCGAACAGATGGATAGGACTGTATACCTCGCATTGCACGGCTACAAGTGTTGGTAAATCTGGTAATGCTTCATCTCGGCTAAATGTCGACTTTGCTTTTCTCCTTCCGGCGTCCCGTCCGATCACGCGCCCTTCGCCCTCGTCATGGGGCCCCAGTTCTCCCGCGGGTTCATCTGGTATCTGACCAACTTTCTCTGTTCCCTGCGCTTGCCGAGCTTGGCGAGATTCTCGTCGAACACGAGCGTCTTGCGCAGCGCCTCCTCGGGCAGCTTCTCTTCGGCCTTGTCTTCCGACCCGTCCTTCATCTCGACATCCGTAGTCTTCTCCTCCTCCTCCTTAGCAGCCTCCTCCTCCACTTCGGCCGCCACCTCCACCGTGGCATCGGCCTCCTTGACTTCCGTGGCGTTTCCGTTGGTATCCACCTTGTCCGCCTTGTCCAGACCCAGGAGCTTGTACGCCGGCATCTGCGAGTTGATCTTCTCTGTGCGTACCGGCGCCTTCTGGCGAACCCATTCCTGCATAACGAACCAAATCGTATCCCACGGCGCGTCCGTCTTGACGCTTCCGGGCCGGCAATGGCTGCGGGTGACGCGGTAGCCTAGGTGCTTGAGCGCACCTCTAAACATGTCGTCCGGCGGCTGCTGCGTGCTCAACGTACCGGCCAACCTCGAAGGCATGACGAAGAAGGGGTAGTGGTCCACCCTCGCGAGCTCCTTGTCCTTGGGGTCGAGGTCCTCCGCTGGTTCCGGACCCGGGAGATATTCTTCGAGAGCCGTCTGGAGCATGCCCTCGATTCTAGACGTCGTCTGGTATACGCTCTTGTCGACCGTCGGCAAGACGTCGAGAATACGCTGGATAAACTCGGGATTGTGCAAAGGACCGCTGTACATGGGTCCCGCAATGTGCATCGATGAACCGCAGTGTCTGCAGTGCGAGTCGGTGGGGGGTCCCTGGGACAGCCCGTGCTTGTAAAAGTATCCCTCCTTCTTCTTGGGCGCGGCGCGCGTCCGGACCATGGGCTGCGTCTCCCAAGCCGAACACCCGGGGCAGTTGTACATGATCATCGTCTTGCCGCCCTGGTAGTTGACCGCGTCCTTGGACCTGCGGACCTTGACAAAGACTCGGCAGTAAAAGTCGATGGAGAGGGACAGCTGCGGCTCAATGGTCAGACCATACTTTGATCCGGCGCTTGCCAAGGCGTGGAGAATCAGTCGAATGCCAACTTCATGCGAGTGAAGCCCCTTGACGGGGGCACCGCCGTACAAGGAGAAGCACTTCTCGGCGTAGCAGTGGCCTGCCCAGTGACTTCCATCGGTACAGGTGACGGCAAGCAGGCCACCGTCGTCTCTGACGGCCTGGATAGCGGCATCCAGGAAGGGCGCGGCCGTTCCGTACGGGTCCAGATCGATCGCGTCGTACCTGTTCTCCTTGCTGGGGTTGCCGAATCGGTCTCTGTTGGACAAGTCGTCTGCGATGCGCCGATACATGTGCGCAATTGCATCGTCGTGGCTCGTCACAACCTTATCCTCCAGTCCGTTGTGCTTGATGTTCAACTTCATTGACTCGATCGCACTCTTGGTCAGGTCGTTGGCGGTTACCGAGGTCACAAAAGGCAGTTCGTGGGAGTAGCGCAGCGCGCGGAGACCAGAGGCTGACAAGGCGTCCAGGATGGTAAAGCGAGGGGGTGCCGGCTCCTTCTCCGGCACAGTCCTTGCGTCTTCACCCTCGGTCTGGCCCTCTTTGGCTTCCGTGGCTGTTGCAGGCACCTCGGCGACCGTTGAAGTCGTCTGCGCTTCCTGGGCCTCAGTGCTAGTGCCATTGACGCCATTCTCGGGTTGCGTCTCCCCGCCGTTGGTAACCTCAGCGGCCTTGCCGTCATCCGTAATCTGGACCTTGGCCGGCCGGTTACCGCCCTCATCCGCAGCCGCGCGCCGTCTCTTCTTGTCCTTGCGCTTGGCAGCGGCCTCGGCCGCCTTCGCAGCCTGCGCAGCCTTCCTCTCGACAACCTCCTCGCCGTACACTCTAATGGCCAGCGCGGACAGGTCACGGTTGAACTGCTGGATGGGGTTGTAAAACACCTGCTGGCCCTTCTTGTCGTTGACTTCCGCGGGGACCAGAATCGTGGCCTTGCCCTCGGTCACGCCCTTGTAGTCCTTGCCATCGTAGGTGAAGATCTGCTCCTCCCCGCTCATGGTGACTGTAATATCACTGTTGGTGGTTGGACAGCTGCTGCAGAATCTGATGAGTTGCGACGTGTTTATGCTGCCTCTGTAGGCCGTGTGAGTGAAAGGGATGGATGAAGGATCCTTCAATCGGAGTGATCGGAGGCGTAAAGACAAGGGCTGTGTACAGAATTGGCGGCTCGCAGCGCGTGTGCCTTGGCGTATAGCTGCTTGAAGGTATGGCTTCAACATACAGTCATGTGTGATGATACAAAAGATTTGGGTCCCCGTTGTCGATTTGGCTCATTCGAGTCGCACGTCGTCGCTGGTCGGCGAGAGAAATTTCAGTGGGTCCGGTGATTCTGCCAAAGGCGGTGAGTCATCGGTGACAACCTCAACCTTGCTACCTTCCAGGTGTGCCCCATAATTCTTGTCTTGAAGAATCGAAATGTCGAGGCTCTATATTCCGCACTTTATCAAAACCAGAATATGAATGACTTCTTTGCAATTGTCCAGTTGTAGAATGAGTTGGTGTTATTTGCATGATGTAGCTTTTGATGTTGTGCATTACCTTGTGCTCGAGTCTTCTCATACCGAGCTCTACCAGGATCCCAATCAGTGCCGCCGAGTCAACTCATAAAGGTGGCTCAACGCACCGGAATCTTTACAATGAATAAGATTGATAGGCACTTCGAGATTTATAAGTGCCATTGGGCTCCTTTAGCATTCATACTCAAGTCGCATCCGTTAATCCTCCCTCCAGCGTCCGTAATAACCGCTCTGGCTTGAATGATTAATTCTAAATTGAGTGTACTCTGACTCGGAACCTCTATGATGCTGCATTGCGCACTTCTATGGAGAGATTTTTTAACCCTATTCACTGGCTGACCTGCTTTTCATTGATTCCTATGTTACAGTCTTGTGGGATGCGGTCGGGATGGCCACTAGAGGACGATTGCCTGATGCCAAAATGAAGCCGGTAGGACCCTCATCGATGTTGCTGCGTCTACGAGATCTGCTTGTGGCCCTTTCTAGTCGTCCATGAGATGCCTTAAAACTACAGTTAACGAGCAGGAACGAGATAATCGGAGAAACCTTTGTTGAGCGAAGGGTCTACGGCACTTGCAGTCACGTTGTGACTTGCCCACTGGAGGCAGCCGAGTCCTAAGTGAGAGAACACTGCGAGAAATATCCAAAAGATCTCGTCGTATTCGAGAGAGAGAGAAGGTTTTACAAGAAGATACCCCGCGTATAAGACTTCATCTAAGATCAAGCTCTTACCGCATGGTTCCTGTTTCGTGAGTCTGAAAGTCAGTAAAGCCTCTCCTCAGTTGACCGTGTTACTGACTGTGGGCATGATTACTGTCTTTTGAGAAACGCTTGCAATAGCATTTAAGCCTTTACATCCACAGGGCTTCGTATTTTATTAGACTGGGAAGGCTGAAATAAGTTTCGCTAATGTTCAACAGCCAATGTCGCATGTGCTTGTCACAATAGATCTCATCACAGCAGATCTTGGAGAAAGAAACAACCGTCCTACATTCTCTTACATGAGTACACTGATTGGTATTCCTCTAGCTTCCTTACAAGTTTTGAGATGGTCTATCATGATGTCTCAGTGCCAAGGCACGGGGCCGGGGGCCGAAGAATTACTGCAGCCTAAAATAACGTCTCCAACTCTCATGCACTTGCATCAAGGCCCGGCGCGCATGCTCTACTACAAACCTGGCGCTCAGCACTATTTCTCCCAGTCCAGGCTTGAGCCTTGATGCAAATGGTCAGACGAATGCTGCACATCTCACTGCTTGGCTCCCTCACGGCCGCGTAAGCGCCGTGAGCAGCGCGGCTGACACAGGCACTCCTGATTCGCCGGCGCTGCATCTCAGCTCTGTTGCCTAGAAGTAACCCCCCCCCCCCCCCCCCAAAGTCCAAATCCCCATCCAACACTTCTCCGACGCAGCGCACATTCATAGCAGAGACAAGCCCCTCAGGCAGCGACTTAGAACAAGACGAAACGAGAGGGACTTGCTACATTGACGTCAAAACAAAAGGACCCCAAATGTGAGGCATATTCGGTGGATAGCGACCCCAAAAAGGCAGGGCTGAAAGAGGGACGTATATGTAACGGGTCCGACCCGAACGTGGTCAGGCAGATTCTCTGTACAGCCACAGTCTACAATTAAGTCGCCTGCAACCTTTCCAACCCTAGGTCCGCTGTTACTCTGCCTGTCTCTTTAACTTCGTGTCCCTTGGTGCTGCCAGTTGCACTCGTCTTCTTCCAATGTGCATCCCACGTCCACGCAGGCACACAACACAATCCTCCTCACCCATCATAAAACTCCCCTACCAGCGTCTCGACTCTCCTCCCCCAACGCCCCGTATGGTCCCCAAGCCCACCGCCGTCGGAACCGTCGCCGCCATGCCCACATCGCCGGCCCGGACACCGGCCTCCGTCCCGCCAGCCTCCTCCCGCGTATCCTCCCAACACGAGCGCCTCCTCCTCGAGCTCCTCCCCTTCAAAGACACCACCAAGTTCCACGACTGGCTCGACAGCAACTATGTCCGCGGGCCCTGGAACGAGTTCAACGCAGACTTCCTCTCCCGCGCCATCGCCGACGCCGCAGCCGCGGGCGTAGTGGGCCCCACCGGCCTACCGGCCGGTCCCAGCGCCGTGCCGGAACCGGAAAAAGTCCGCACGGCCCAGGCGGCGCGGGAGGCGCTCAACGGCCGCAAGGCCAAGTTCGTCGTCTACCGCCCGGACAAGAGCACGTGGACGGCCGAGGACCACCACGTGCGCTTCATCGTCACGCTCGTCGCGGACAATATGCTGCAGAACCTGTGGTACGAGTCCGAGTGGAAGAAGAAGGGGCTCGAGATTGCCAAGGCGGCGTATGAGGTGCTCATCTTCCTCAAGGCAACCATGGTGTACGCGGATCCGAATCCGCCGAGTTACTCGGCATGACGCCCCCGGGTTTCAGACCATGGTTCATCGTCTTGTTGGGAATTTTTGGGTCTCTGCCTCTTGCATTAGTGCGGGTTGGGTAGTGCGGTGTTTGTAAAAATCGTTGAATGAAACTGCAATCGGTGTAATGGCGTGTATTTCTTACTGCGTTTTACCGGCGTCTTTTGGTTATCTGGCCTGTTTCCTTCTCCCTTGGCAAGCATTGGAAGCGGTTTGGGTTTATGGAAGGGTTCGGCCAATCGCAGTCGTCCTATTTTGGATACATCACATCTACAAAACAAATGTGTCTCGAGAAACATTTCACATGCAGAACACCTTGTCGCCTGATAAGCTTCTCACGTCAACGTTCGATTCTGATGTAAAGTTCGGGGCTCCTCTCCGGTATCTTGGTTGAAAGCACGTGTTTACTTCCGTCTTACATTGAGAGGAACTTCCTGACTGCCTTTCCGATACGGCCCTATGTCGGCCTGAGCAGCCCGGAATGTGCTTCCGGGGCCAATGTGAAGCCGTGATGCTTGGGTCACCCCACTAAGAGAATCATAGCTTGCCCTCACATCCGGGAAGGGACTGGAGTATCATCAGCCCATAGTCTCGACTCTGATGGATAAGAACCCATGCCATTCCGGTCACAACATGGCGTCGACATGTGCTTGAGAGACAACGGAGCGAGTACCATTGACTTTTTACAAGAGCCCTTTTACGTATCCCGTAACTTCCTCACATGAATGCTCTCCAAATTCCAATGCCAACACCGAGGCCAAAACGAAGAAATGCCGTCATACCCCAAGTAAGAAAGCTTCTCCTCAACACATGGCAATCTTTCCAATTGTCAGCAAAGCCATCAATCATGCGATTGACTTGCCGAGAATCGAGTACCACGAGGGATTCCGGAACGAAGGTCTCGACCTCTTCCTTTGTCGGGAAGTCTGCTATTCTGTCCTTCATGCGGCATGAGCACAATTCCAGTCAGCATGAGCATGAGCATGAGCCAGCTCTAATATTGCGGGGCAAACGGAGGGGTGGAGGGGAAGGGAAAGACAGCAATCAGCAAAGAAAAACGTAGTTGAGTTGACATGTGATGATGTTGATAGAACGTTCAACCCAGCAAAAAAGGGCACTGACGTAAGGTTTCCGTTGGAAGTGCGGAGGAATAGAGAGCCACAACCACCACCGAAGCCAGCTAGCCCTTTCCTCCAGACTTGCCGTAGACTTCCCGAGGCGAAACATGACAAACTGTGTCCCGATGAACTCTCCCAAAGTTTTCGATCCAAACTGGAAAAAAAAAAAAAGCATAAGGGAAGAAGAAAAATCCAATGGTTTCAATTTGCGCACACCCCCCTCCTCTTCCATTTCCCTTCATGAGTTGTCAGAGGAGGGATGGAGAAGCCGAGCATACCTGCCGTGCTGCCGTGGCCGTTCAAAAACAGGCTCAATGTGAATGTGTATACCCTCGGTTTCTTTTACGTTTGAACATCGACGGAATTCGTTCTGGTCGATATGTGCGAAAGACCGATTGAGCCCTGTTCGTAATTAGATAAGGAAAAAATTGTAACTCTGTGCGAAAGCTTCCGAGAAACCCAAATGGAAAAGAAAACGGTCGACCATCATCCCATTCCGACGTTGTGTTGATCCCGTTGTGAGAACAGTCCACGGTTACACCTGCAACTACACCAATGCCTCTCGGGCCGGAAAGAATGTATAGTTGCGAATCTAGCTATAATAATTGCTATTGTATCTCTATTTGCCTCCTTTCAGTATCACAAGAAACAGCGGTCTAGATTCTCCTTGTCCCCCGCATATGCAGGACGAGAATGGAAGAGATGGAGGGGGGGGGGGGGGGGGGGATTCATCATTCAAGCCACAAGCAGCCAAGATGTGCAAAGATACGAAGCGTTGGAACCCAATTCCGGCGAGAGAAGACGTCCCTCTCCCTCCGCGTCGCCGAGCACTTAGCAAGCGGTTCCGGCGGCGCTGGGGGAAGGGGACTCAAGGGAGAAGGGCAGACAGGAGTAACCTGAGGATGTGTTGACGGGCGGGCGGGGAAGCGGGATGTGTGCATGATCGCTGCAAGTCATCCACTGCAAGGTTCGCAACTCTACTCATCCTACTGTTACGCAAGTCTACCTCTTTTTATCCAAGTAGGTACGAGTTCCCGTTTCTGTTGTCTCTTCTTGTTGTGCTTGTGCTACATTCATATACTCACACCATACTCTCATGGTTCTAGGCATCCCTTGAACTCTATCTTTTTTTTTTTTTTTTTGAAATCAAACTCCTGCCGAGTCATAAAGAGTACTCTAAAAAAAAACACGCAGCAGAGTCTAGAAACGAAACTCGCAAATGAAGATCTCGGCAGTGGTCGCGGCAACGCGGGCCAGCGGGAGCGGCGGTGTGGGGGAAGTGTGCACTGGGGCTATCGAACGACTTCAGGCGGGGGAGAAGAAACGGGTTGTGTGCCGCAGAGTCAATTGCGGAGAGACAACTGCGGAGACAACAACGAACGAGAAGCAATGTCGACAAGACTCAAGACTTTGGGGGGGCATCAGGTAAAGGCGCAACGCATACATCGGTACCCAAACAGCCTGTATTGTGAGATGGGAAAACAGGGAACGAGCCAACCCCATAGGTCAAGACAAGCAATGCTGCCCGTCGATGCATAGCAACAAAGGAGGGTCTAGAATGAGTTCCTGTTGCAGAGTTGCGGGCACCGTCACATTGCGGCTCCCGCCAATGAAGGCTGGAAGCCGGGGTATCTGTAGTCGACGCATTGCCTAGTCTTGCCTTGCTATGTCATTGTCTCTGAGCCTCAACCTCGCGGCTCTCGCTCTTTGGGCTACCGGTACTATCTTGGTTGTGGTCGGTGGTAGTTGTTCGTCTTCGCCGCCGCCGCCGCGGAAACCCGGGAAACATGGAGCCAGGGTTAGACGACGTCCGCACGATTAAGCGGCATTGTGGGCTGACCGAGGAGCGGGAGGCGCCTACAGTCCTGCAGCAAAAATCGTCTCAAGTCCCTGATGTCACCCTCCCTCCACTTCTTGAGTCCCCATTGCTGCGCGCTGTACGGAGTCACATACATCTTGCAAGTGGGCTGGCAAGAGAGGCCGTTTCTGCAGGACACGAACATCTGGGACCGGCATACAACCCGTTCCCGTCCAGAGGCACTGATAGGTACGAATGGCTATGCGTTGCTATGCAAAGACTTTTGCCACCATCCCCGCGGTTGCATCGGTACGGCTATATGCGACCCGCGGTGAATGGGCGATCTGTGCAGTAGTCTCTCTGGCTGGAGGTCGACGCCGCCCAGTTGTTCCCGCAGTGTTTGGAGGCTCAGAGATGCTGAGATACGCATTCTCCTTGTTTGAAGAGGCGCAAGCCCCTGCTTCGCATTGCACTTTGTACGCGCAAGAGTCCTGTGGCTCCGGTTTTCTCCGTAGTTGCAGCTCTGTAATTGTTCATTAACTGTGACGGCAGGAGCTTATGGTAGCAAAGGGGGAAAGGAAAATGTTGATCGGTTGCAGATGGTGGTTATGATGGTAGTGGTTGCCATCGACGATGTCATATCGAATATGTGACTTCCTCGATGCGGAGAGAGGGCGGGTTGGATGGCACCAGTGGCACGGTCGATCTGCTCCCCCGGACCAGATCACTCAATCTAGACCTCTCTTTCTTTTCTTAGATAATGCCGCTTGGCTTGTCTGTGACATACTATAGAGCGGTTCCGCTGTCTGGTGCGGTTAGGACATACATCACACAGATAAGGAACATCGGCTGATGATGGGTAGAAACATAGTTTCAGGCGGACCGCAACCGAGATTTTTCTCCCTGTTTCCTTCTCTCCGGCGTCAGCCGATAGGACCTCGGCTTGGCTCAGCCGACGGGGGGTGCTGCGAGGGGAGGGAGGGACGGCATTGTGCAGTAGTTTGGTTGGGATTTTACTCTTCTGTACCAATAGGCGCACCTACTATTCGACATTGAAGCTGGAACCTGTTGCATTGGGGGCTGTGGGTGTGGCCTAGGATCTGAGCGGGCTACCTACCTGGCTGCTGGTGTTTGATCTCTTGATTTTTTTTTTTGCACGATCGTAAGATGGAAAAATGGCCTTAGGTTTGTTTTCAAGCTGTTTCCATACGAGTAAAAGAAAACAAGCGGAGAAGGGAAAAAACTGGCTGGGGCAAAAAAGGGCGGGGAACGCGGGAATTACTTGCGGCTCGCGAGGTGTAATTTAAACGTCTGCTCAAATTTCAACGTCCCATTGATGTCCAGGATTTGCTTCGGTTCAAGTTTTGGGACTCGAATCCAGCAGTAATGCAACCGCAGAGGACCCAAGGTGTGTATGGCACCTTGAGTTGGAGCAATGCTATGTTACGAGCGCGATACATAATTTGAGGCAAGTCTTTACGCAACGCAACGTATACATACTCTCCAGATTTATTTGCTCACTCGCTTGCTTCTTTGTAAGCTGCGGTTTGGCGCGTTTAGCCTGAGAAGCGAATTGCCGTGAGTGATTGCGCGAAAGCCAAGGGTGAAATGGCATCATCATTTGAACAGAAAAAAACAACAAAAAACAGAGATCCGTCCATAACACGCATGCTTGACTAACAAGCCAATACGAGTTTTCGGTGCGGGCTTGAGAGTGAACGTGAACCCTGCTTGAGCCCGCCGGAGAATAATATATGAAAGATGTACGTACAATATACGTGAGTTGCAGCCCGGCCATGTGGGAATAACTTCACAAAAGCTAGGACCAATGCCAATGCTTGATGCCAGTGGTTCCGGGATGGGGGAGAGAGCCACTGGTTTATGTCACCCTAATTGGGTGGAGGGAGTCGATAAGCAAGGTCCTCCGTACACTAGGTGCGGATCCGCATCGGCATTAAAAAACCGAAGAGGCTGAAAAACAGAGGGAAAAAAAGGTACCTCAGACTCCAGACTCCAGACTCCAGAGAGGGAATTTTCACCTGCCAGCGCAAAAGAGAGAGAAAAAAAGAAGGGAAGACAGGGGACCGCCCGTCGCAGGGCTGCGACTTGTTCATTGTAGGGACCGGGAAGCAGGGGAGGTGAGGTACGTACTGCTCCTGCTCCGGACGGGAAGAGGGCCAAAAGGGGCGTGAACTTAGCAAAACGTGCTCGGAAGATCTGGGGCGCCTCAGATACTGGGACCTTACTCCAGAGGCTCTGAGTCTCTGACGGAGCGCGAGATGGTCGCGAAAGCGGAATGCGACTGGGGAAAAAAGCCCTTACTCGAGTCTATGGATACGGATACCTTCAAATCTTGAAGTCACTTCTTCTCCAGAAATACTTATCCAACTTGGGTAGGCTCTGTGCCTGGCCCTCCCCTTCCCGCCATGCCCGCTCAGGGCCGTTTTGCTTCGCATCTCGTCAATACCGCGCACCACAGGCAGGGACAAGAGCGAGCGATGTGGAATCCACCCTGTATGATGCCGCTGGTGCGATACTTTTACCTTTCCAATAGCACCGAGCCCAAGGGCCGATAAAGGTCCTGTAGAAATCCATCAAAAAGGCCTGTATGCATCTTCAAGCACCCTGAATATCAATGATACGGCGGATAGGCACCATAGCCCCCCCCCTGGAAGGTCGGGGCTCATGGGGAACCCAGCAGCGCTTGGCGCACCGCTGAGCCTTGCAAAAATGCCCAGCCAAGGCAAGCAAACAGCGCGCACACCTTGGCACCCTCCTCTGTGACTAATGTACACAGGGTAAAAGATACCTCTACGAGCTCGAGGAGCAGTGTGTCCGCGGACTGCAGAGCCCAGCGCTGCAGAGCATATGGGGTCCCTCGATCTGACGCCATTTTTTCCTTCGAGAAGAAACGGGGCTCAAGGGGCGGGAAAAAAAGATTCCCCACGAAAACCCGTCACTCCTCCCCAGCAAAAAATGAGTACGGAGTACTACGTAGGTAGAGGGAAAAGTCGCGCTCCCCGATGAGTAAGCCAATGGCTCCCTCCACCTTCTCACCTCAGCCATCATGGTCCTCTTTTTTCCCCCTAGGTGAGCCTCAAGCCGCATCCGGACTTGCCCGGAGCACAATGACAACACACACTCATCTAGACTCATTCTCTCTTTCACTCACTCACCCACTGGAATCTCACACACTACTCCGTAGTCGGCCGGCTCATTCTCAATTCCTCACTCTCGAACTCATTCTGGATCTCCTTACCTACTCCTCACAAAGAGTGCCACCGCAGCCACTGCGGCTCACCAAACATGTGGACCCCACGATGCCCAGGTCGGGGTCGGGGCCCCGGACGAGCCACGGCCTATTATCCCCATCTCTGGCCCCTGAGCCCTGTAAGTGTCTCTGAGCTGGTGCTTCCAAGCAGTCCGCGTCAAGCCGACATTTGGCCGATGGTGACGATGGCCTTTTCATGCTCTCGGTGGACCCGGGTCTTGACCGACCACAGCTTCTTATCGGTCCTTAATCGCTGAATCTTAACCTGTGGCGGGTCGTCCGTCATATTTGGTGGAGTTGGACTAGTTTTTCCTTACTCTGTCTTTCCTCTCGCCTCACCCTGAACTCTGATGCTTGAGTATCCGTAACATGACACACTCCGTCAGTCTCGGAAATGGCTCCTGGTGAGGAATTTTTTCTGACCAGTCTCCAAATCTCGTCAAAGTCTGGGGCTCGGCAGCCTAGGCTGAGATTTTGCCAGGGCTGCCAAGGGCAAGGCCGTGAAGGAACCACTTTCCGTACCGCATTATCGATTCATGCTCGTCCTATCTGTCGGCCAAGCTCCGGTCCTTCACCCGGAAATTTTCCACCGTGGCCCTTTCTCCGCCATGCCTCTTGCTACTCGGCCAAATCCTGGTTATCTCGGCCGCTAGTCGCTGCCTCATCCACATCTTCTGCCTTGTCGTCCTCGTCATCACCGTCGCCGCCATCGCCGTGCCCGTCTCCGTCGCTACTGCCGTCATCCTCGCTCTCGGCCGCCTGGGTCCCCAGCAGAATGTCTTCGCTGCCTTGCCACTGCGGCGGCGGGCCGGGAAGCGTCGACTCGTCTTCTCGTGCCCATCCATATTCCTCGTCATCTTCCTCGCTATCGGGCACCTCGAGGCCAGCTTCTGCCAACTTGCGTTTCGCTCGTGGAGCCGCTGGTAGGAACACCGATGGCTGGCTAGTGTCGTACTGCACACCAACCACGCCCGTCTGTCACGATAACGAGCCATGTCAGCAAACCACATATCCTCTCACCTTGGAAACTCCGCTTTTGCGAAATTGTGCCGGAATTGTGACTGCCCAACGAAAATACTGACCGCCTCAACTCTAAACGCCGCTGCGCTCTGCATCATGTCCGGCCCAGCCTTGCCGTCTAGCTTCTGCACGCCGGCGAAGCATACAGACCATGGTCGCTCTTCCTTCCATACCCAGTCTCTGAACAGCACGACCCGCGTCGACATGCCCTGTTCCCATACCCCAGCATTAATGGATGGGATCAATGTCGCGCTCCGCTCCAACTGCATCTTGGTTGCACATTGCGACAGGACCACCACTGCGCAGTCGCGTGTTGCTGCTAGTTTCTGCAGGGCACTGGTGATGTACTGTAAAGCCTGCAGCCGCCTCGCTGATAGAGATAGATCTGGACCTGCATAGTATGAATAGGTGAACCTCGATTTGGTCCAAAACAACTGACCTTTGCCGCGCGGCGGATCTTTTCTACCGTCGGGGGCTTTGGGGAAGGCGTGGTTTACCAAGGCTGATAAGGAGTCTATCACAACCACAGCCGAATTTGCTGGCACTGTTGCCGCTGTGGGACGGCATAGGAGTGCTATCAGATGTGGTAGGCTGGGGCAGCCATAATGCGCAAAGTGATCCGTGGCCGATGTTGCCACTTCGGTGTCCTTAGATGGCTGAGTTGCTTCTACTGCCTCGACTACTGCGTTCAGCCGATGGCCGCAAACAGTATACGCGCAATCTTTGAAGCTTTGCGTTAGTCTCGTCGTCGTCTTCCCGCGCATGGTAGTCTTCGATGAACCGACCTACCCACACAGCACCATGCCCCTCGCATAGCGCATTGGCGACCAGCTGAATACTTCATTGATATGTCAGTCGTGAGTAAATTGCGTTGCCTCCAGGAAAACATAATGGCAACTCACCCTACGGCTGTCTTGCCTGAGCCTGGTGGTCCCCATATCTCCGTGACCTGTCCTCTCTGGAGACCTCCCCCACGCGTCGGCGTCGGTTCCCGCAGGGACGAAGACGATGTAAGAGCCTCATCTAGTCGTCCAATGCCGGTAGAAACATGTCTGGCGACACCGCCGTCTAGTTCTTCCAGTGCGTCAGCCGCGGACACTGTAGGTAATCGATCTGCACTCTGTCAGGAGCTGTCATGATTGGAAGATTGGGTCATACATGCGTGTGGAAGGGAGGTCGAAGCTAGAGATATCTTTCTCGTGAACGGAGTGGTACTTCTCCATTGCTAGGACCCCAAATCTTGCTCGAGTGGTCTCGTCGACTGACCCCGGTAGATTTGGCATGTCCCGATTGTCGACGTGAAGTTGCAAAAGCTGCACAGTATGAGTCTGTCAACCTCACACGTGCCCCTGATGAGGTCATCAGCCACACGCGTGGCAGGCAGACGTGTGGCTGAGAGGCAACTGCGCACCTCCTCACTGTACGCCTACAGCAGTTGCCTGTCTCATGGCAAGATACCTTACATCATCCTTTTCGTATTTAATAACTTCAACCCAATATCTCAATCCTAAAGAATAAAATACCAACCCCAGCCCTTGCAATGAGGGGCTGCGTTGCGATCCCCAAACCACAGTCGAGTGGGCGCACTGAGCCGCATCTACCTAACTTGGACACCGAGCGGCTGTTGATTGCTAGACCAGCGCCCCCAAGCAAGCACTTACATTTCTAGAACTGTTGGGGGTTTTGCATCTCCGTCTTTTGAAACATGTACCAACAAAGAGGACGATTGGCACAAGATATCTTCCATTGAGAATCCTGCATGGCCACATCATTCCGTCGATGCTACCCAGTCAGATAAGACGGCTAATTCGAGCCGCCTCAGCTTTTGAAGCCTTCTGGTACCGACCACCCGGAACGTTCAGGACCTTTCCGGAGCCTTGGCCAAGTTTCGGACGACAAGAATTGCCAGCACTGACGGCAGTGTTTTCGGGCCAAACGGGTGGAACGTGGCCGCCAGGGACCATTGCTCGAGATTGCCGTTTTGCGTATGCGGTCCCCTCGATTCCTCACCGTAGGCTTCGCAAGTCTATTTTCACAGCGACTCGGAACATTCTAGGACCCCTCCGGTTTCACATATTTACATACCTATAGTCCAGTGAGCTTCGGGCTCTCTGATCTGGTATTCCCTCAGACCTGTGATGCTTGTAACCCTAGCGCTCGATTCTCTTCAGTCGTGGTTTCACCTACCGGGCCATATACGATCCTGGTCTCGATACCTACCACTGCCGGCAGGCATTGCATCTGGGGTTGAAACGGGATGATAGGCAGGGTGCGGATGGTTGGAACTCGTACGGAACGATTGCGCCGAACCCCCAATCGCTCTGGCGCAATCATGCTCCAGCTCTACAACGCGGATTAGCCTTCAGCCATCACAGCATGATCCCGCGTGGGGTCTGCGGGGTCTGACATGTCCAGAGTGAAAGAAATTTGACCCTGGAGTTATCCCCAAGAATCCAATTTACTAGGACACAACTACGTGCAAGTAGGGTGGCGGAGTAGAAAGCTAGTGTTCGTATCTGTACGGATACCCGCACCTGCCTCGTACTCTGACTCTGTACTGACTGGTTGAATAGGCGTTGGTCGGGTCGGAAATCGGAAGAGCTATCCACAGAAAAGCCGGGCAGCCTTTCACACGAATGCACAGCAAGATCCTTGTGGAGATCAAAGACGTGTCCTACATACCCGACAGCGAAGGCCCGAGGTACCTTACATGCATCCGTACACTCACGGCTGAATGCTGCCCTAGAGGTAGGGCCTGAGCCTCACCATCTCAATGCAATAGAGTTCAAGGGTCTCCCTGATACCGGTACTGCCAACTGTCAAGCATGACGGTACCAAGAGATCATACCGTCTTCTCTGACAGCGATGCCCACAGCCTACGGGCCTTAGGTGGAAGCGTTAGCCACACTACGCCTTTACCTCTATCCCGATATCCGAGCTCGGGTCGACGGATCTCGTCATCTATCGGAGCCCAGAGGCAACGAATCCCGATTCCTTCGCCGGACATGTCGTTCATCTGGCAGGCCGGGGTAAATTGCTAATGAGGTCCCTTGGTGGCGGCTGGGGTGAAGAGACCTGGGGTCGATAACGTGGAGGGCAAGCGGAGTTTCTCTCATCCGCGGTTTTCGTTCCACATATTTTGTGGAGAGGCGATATCGGGGCTCGGGCCAGAAGTCTGCGGCGCTTCAGATTGCCTGGAGTCGTCCGCTTACAGGTGCGGCTAACAGCCATCAACAAAGTCTCGATTTTGGACGGCAACTCTGGCCAGACCCTTTCACCTCCGCATGTGCGATGCAAGGTACGCGCTTCTCCAGGATTTTACATGTGGAAGAATGTTACCGTTTCTCCAACTTGCTGAATGCGGTCCCAAGCTTTCCCGCTGACATCATGCTAAGGTTGGTTCTCTGGCCAAAAGGGATAGGTTTCTTTTGGGGTATCCCCCCTTTATCTGCTTATATTTCACATGTGACAGGAACGAGGGGCAAGCGTTCCAAACATGCAGAGCTTACAATCACTTGGGCGATGTTCCGTTGAGGGATGGCTCTCAGCGCCGCCAACTCGTCTGTTTGCGTCTCACCTGAGGCATCTAGGACAGAACAGAGATTTCATAGGCGCCACTCACATGCTGCATATGACCAAACCAAGCCTCTGCTCTAAGGTGTAAGCAAAAGGCTTGATTGTTTGCTTGTGCTTTCGGGAAATCTCGGGATCCTGATCTCCCTCAGAAAACTGGAACTCGGAGCCATATCAACGCACCGCGTTCGACATTCACACCTCCAGGCGTGCTCTCGACTCTCCCCACACTTATCTGCATCCCCTGTAAATCAGCCCCCTAGCGAAGCCCCATCCCCGGCTCATTCCCACGCCCTCAGATATTGCCCTTTTCAGGAAGCTGGTTTCAAACACAGGCGTGTCCCGGCAAGGAAACTTGGGTCAATCTTCACCCAAGGCAGAAAGCACATGATACCGGTACGACCCTTGGTTTCTGGCTTCAAGAGCTACCGCCTTGGCCTCTCCAGGTACATTGCGGGGATGCTCGAAGTGAAGGGGAGTCTGGGGAAGCATGGGCAGATCCATTCTGTCTTTGAAGAGCTCGGTTCATTTCCGCTCGACCGTCGAACGCAGGAAGCAACAAATGACTCATGCCGGGCGAGTCTCGCAATCGACTCTGAGGACAACTACGAGAGCCCACAGTTCCCCCGAGAAAATTGTGCGATAATGCGCCCGCTGGCGGCATTGCGAAGTCTTACAAGAGCCAGTCATTCCGACGCTTGTCAAGAGTGTCAAGCAGTGCACTCTTTGAGTTCATAGCCCCGGACTCTGGATTACTAGGTCTTATCTTTCAGCCGTCATGAACCCGGTCCAAGCGAGACACACAGGTTTGTGAAGCAACAGCAGAAACGCCCAAGTGAGGGCGTCCGCCCGCAGTGGAAACAGCGAACCAGCCAGCGGGGTTCTCCCCGCGCGAACAACAACGGGCCTGTCACATACAACAAGACAATACAAAGCAAGATACAACTCTAAGCCCGAAGACCATGCATTATTGCCATTGTTGCCGCTGTTGAGAATGTAGAGGTCTCGCAGCCCCCGTGCATACGGTACATGTGTGGTATGCAAGTTCGTCGTTGCAGCCCCGCGAAATCCATCGGAAATTTCGAGCATACTTGGTGGAAGCCTCCACAATCGTGCGATGAGCGTATGATTCTCCGCATTCCACGATTGCGTCCCAATCTGGCCGGGGTCAGAGGGCAGCACAAACTATGCGGATACATGTGCAAATCGAAGTGGTCAATTTTCGATCGGGGTCGAGATGCGGGAAACTTCCCCAGGACGAAGACGGGAGTCCATGTTGAGTTGCGGGCGAGCCTCGGCGACCTGTTGAGCGAAAACTCACGAGCAAACTATGCCAATCCAATTGTGGTCTAGACGTCGACAAGGATAGCTGCGAAAGCTATCTGTCCACATGCATAAGCTTTATCTCTTTGCTGGGTATGCTGGGAGGAAGCAAAGAGCCGCAGGCAGATTCGAGCTTCAACCTTTTCACGGTAACCTAGCTGATACACGACTTGAGATTGGCGCCTGCCTGCTCTGGCGACACCCCTGAGAAAGTCACGACTCGACAATGCACCCTAGCCTGGTGTTTGGACAGCTTCCATTCGCTAGTTTGTTATCATTGCTCGTCAAAATGAACGGAACAATACACGATGTTCGGGGTTCTGGACCATTAGCCAATTACCCAGAGATGGCTTGGTTTGGCGTCCGGAACCTGTCTGCGACTAGATATCTTGCCATCCCTGAAAATATGAGTAGCGCAGCAATCAGACGTACCGGCCAGCCAGATCGAGGCGTGGAGAAGTCCGGGGGCGGGATAGAGGTGTGTGTAGCGGGAGAAGAAGCTCGACAGATTTCTGGACTTTAGACTCTGGAGTGATGGGGGGCGTTGGAACTGTTTGACAAATTGAATGTTGGAGGCGTCGACTCCATGGCAGTTTGCCATCGCCAGACACATATGTTTCCATCAAACGAATCACCTCATTCTGTCGGCCCATGCCATCACAGAAGGCCCAGGCGTCCCGAGTGCCAAGTTCCAACAGCCTGACTCGGTTTACACACGGGTATGTCGCGATAGCAATGCCATGTTTGGCGTGCCGGAGCATGCTAAACGCCAAAGCTCGCGGGCTCGGAGCCTCTCGTCCGACGAAAATCAAGCGATCCAGCCGTCAGGAGAAGAATCTGGGGATGAGAGATCTCACGGCACCGGGTACCCCAAATCTTGGGAACAGGGTCATTAGGGTCTCCCCGGAATTCCCGATTCGAGCCTAGCACGCCTCGCAGTCTACGGGACCGTAAGCACCTGGATGGAAGGAAATTTGAGCTGGAAAGGGCAGTTCAACGATCGACCGACAATCTGGCCAGCGAGGCACCTGGGGGTTATCGTATGCAATTGGCAATTGCGGACCTGGCGCTAGAGAGGCGATAGAGGATGTGGCGCCGCTTGAAGATCACAGGTCTTGCGACGCCAATGAGAGACTTGGATGGAAGCATGGCTTGATGGCGATATCCTAGGACAAGAGCTTCGGATGGTTGTGGTGACACAACGCCCCCACGTTCTGTCCCATTTGGATCATGGGGGAGGCTCTTTTCTGGCTAAATGAGGGGTCCTTGGTCTTGCAATTACCGCAACGAGGACACCCTCACCGATGCTGGATCCTGGAGGAGCGACGCCTCTCCTGTCGCTAAAGAGGATGCATTCCCGCTTATCCGTTGACGACAAAAACGGAAACCCGAGGCTGGGAACATAACGGTTGCTACCTACATGGTGGTCTTGGAACAATGTTCCAAGAGAGGCGCATCAGAGGCTTTCTGAGTTCTACTAATCCTGAGAGAAGGAGAAAGAGATTCAGATTCCGACGAGGGTCCGAAGTTCGGCGGAGACTGCCGGTAACTCGGTGAGTGCGGCTTCACCACGCAAAAGTCAAGGGATTGCGGAATTTCATACGCCATTTTGTTTTCGCAGACCGAGAGGCGAGCCGAGGGCCAGCGGAGCCTATTGCTCTCGGCCACTGACTACCGAGGGCTGCCGAACCGCAGAAGCACCAACCCTGTGTCAAGCCCCGTGTTGGGCGAACGTATGCACAGGGTGGAGGAACAACGACCAAGCCGAAGAGAGCCCAGAGAGCCCCAGCAATTACGGATACCAAGCGTCTTATCTATTGAGGATCACGTCGTCTGGCCCTCGCGCTGACGAGCGCTGAAGAAGTCACGATGCGGAAATTTGACTCATCTGCGACAAGGCTCTTTTCTCGCGCTTAACGCGCTGTGGAGTCGTGACAGGAGACAGCCGAGACACACAGGGTAGCAAGGTCGAGAATCGCACCAACGAATGCTGTTTCTCTTGTCGGCCTCATTCTTGGGCTGGGTCGGCTGAGAAGGTTGATATTTGAGACTCATCTTGGGCGGCCCAGATGACCAAGGGCCCATTGTCGTGTTGCGGTGAAGCAAAGGCGGAGTTTGTCAACTTGTGTGGAGGTTATTCTCTTGAAGGGTGTCTGGTGATGTGGACGCCTGGCGGTTTCCGTGATCGAGAAGAGAGACAATGTGCGCAACTGCTGCTCGGGATCCGGTACCGCTCCAGACACTCTTATCTCGAAGGAGGGAAGCTAGGAAGCACTTTAACACAGCGGCGGCCCCCACACCCCCGCCGGGACCCGGGCGTTGAGGGGAGGGCTCGGAATTGCGATTCAAGGACGCTCGTAAAGACGGGCCAGCACATCGGGGTTCAAACGAGCCGCTCACGCTGGGCCTTGCTCGGTCCTCTGACTGACAAGGCAAGAGTCAAGTAGGGCGACAAGGCGATGGGCAAGAAAGGACGTATATCGACCTGGGCCGCAAACTGACGACTCAAACCGGCGCTTTTGGGTTGATAACATGACCACCGTTTGCTGGTTGCCTTTCATCTGCTCGCCAACTGGTTTCGTCGCCTTACCAGTCACCCAGTGCAAGCGCAATGAAGCGAGGAGCCCCCCACACCGCGGGGTTACAGTCCCGACCTCATCTCATGGTGAGCTGAGGAATTCGGATCGCGGCGCCGTGCCAGCTCGGACAGGCTGTCCTGCGCCCTGTGATACGGCCTGCACAAAGATAGGTCTACCTATAGACGCCTGAGAACCTGCCGCAGGCTCCGGACAACGGTACACAAAGATTGCGGCTTGGGCGAGGAAGGACAGCATCGAACAAGCTTACTGGGCTCTGTATCTACGCTGTATGCGCTTCGCCTTGCCCAGGCCAGACTGACAATGGCGGCCATGCCACGATGCGGCCTGGATTGGCACCGCGGCAAGGGGCATTGGCGATCCCCCGGTCGGGACTGAGGCGAATTGCATGCCGGTATCCTCTCTCCTCAGCTGATGCTCGTGAGATGAGGGCATGATGGGGGATTCCCCGTGGAGAAGGAGACGAAAAGCTGTCTTTGTTTGGGCCGACGCCTTCCCCCAGATTTCCTTCTTGCCAATAAATGCAGGCGCCCGCGGGTCAAGTTTGTGCCTTCATTCCCACGGGGTAAAAACTGGCGATGAGCGGAGAGCCGGGACAGGATTGTGCCATGGGCGAGGTGACTTGGGCGGCGCATTGCGTGACGAGGGGTCCCTTTCCCCCCCTGCATGTTTCTTTTGCTTCGTCTGCCTTCGTCGTCTCTTTTTTTTTTTTCCCTTTACTTCCCTGAATAGCTTCCCAAGGGCGTGGCGGGCCAATCAGACACGAGGACGGTGGCACAAGCTTGGGGTTTATCAAGAACTAAGCCACCACTCACTTCCGTTGCCTCACCGCCCCCCCCTCCCCGCGTCCGCCCACACACAAAGTATAAGTCAGGGTCGTTTGGGAGGACAAGCCGGGACCAGGCTGGGGGGTGCTAATCTCGGTGGCCTGGGGAAAGGAAAGCGGGATGGCCAAGAGCCATGGGATGAGATGGGCGAGGCGTGGAGAGAAAAGGACTTTCAAGGTTACTGACGAGTGTGCTGCCCACGTTGCCCAAGGGCCTTGTCGTGTTATTCACGATGCTCGCCCCATCGATACTCCGTGCTGAGCAGATATTGACCGCGGGAGGTAAGGCACGTGTCGGCAATAGACCGAGATATGGTTCACGATACTTTTTTTATTTTTATTTTTTTGGAAGATTGATGTTGGGTCCCGGAGGTCAAAGTGGTGTGGGGTTCGAGAGCAGCGGGAATAGCGGCGGCGATGCAATACGGGGGAACACGACTGAACTACGAAGGGGGGACGGATACGTTGGGTGGATAGGCAATATTGCGAATGAGGCCGAGGATTCACCACGGCCAAGCTAGCAAGTCAGGCAGGCCGCAGGGCACCGTTTGAGCATTCCCACCACGGCCGCCATACCAAGACGGACTACGCAGACCCGGCATGACAAAAAGGAAGAGAAGAGTTTTTTTTTTTTTTTTCCTTGTCTCTCGTCCTACGACTACGGAGCACTCTCTCTTGAGGATAAGGATCCCTATGCCTCTGGCATGGAACGATGGTGTAATAGTGCACCGCGACTTGGGGCTTGGGCGGGAACGGTGAAGGATGAGGGTGTGAAGAGCCGGAAGACACGAGGGCACAAAAAAGTCTGTCTGTCTGCCTGGTTGCCGGACTTTGCTGACCGACACGGCGGTATGGTTCCGTTCCCTTCTTCTTCTTATTTTTTTTTTTTTTTTTTGCCAGTGCTGACTACGGAGATAATGGTGGTGTTGACGATGATGGCGGTGATGATGCCACGATTTGCCTTTGGGTATTACAGCAGACATGCTTGCTTGTCGGATGGTGCCAGCAGAGCCCGCGGGCATAGCACAAGCCAAAAAGCTAATGATTAGCACATCTGTACGGAATACAATCCGTACAGACTGGCAGGTGAAATTTATGGACCGGGATACCTATAACGAGGTGGAGGAAAAAAGAGAGAGACCTGAGAGGAAAAAAAAAAACTGAAGAGAGGGAGGGTACGTACCGATCCCCAGTTTCCCCCGACCTGTCGCAAAACCACGTCGGTATCTGATGGTGCGCGTACCGTACCTTACCTCTGTGTGAGGTGCCTCAGGTCCTGAGACTGGAGTACGGAGTACCGCGGTACCGCGGTACTTTGTCGTCCGAGGAAGGAAAAAAAGAGAGTATCTCGAGCAGGGCCGATACGTACCGATCTCTCCGGGAGAGCAGAGCACGTCGCTCTTGGCTTTTCCCAGAGTGGGGTCCAAACCCCCGGCTGTGACACGCCCTTTCTTTCAAAGTACACGCCCCTTCTCCCGTCTACCGTCCCCTCCCAGTCTCTTCCCCTTTCACCCGCGTACACAACGAATACCTACGAATAGAGAGAGTCAGTCTCGTTTTGCCTCACGCCCCCCCCTTATCCCACATGCTGGGTTTTCTGCTGGACATCGTCGTTAACTTCCTCTTGCTGAGGTGTAGCGGCGTGGCTTGTGGTTGACGACACACACACACACACACACACACACATACCCCAGCGCGCGCTCTCGCGGTATCTTTCTCTGCCTCTCTCTTGGCTCCTGTCTGTGGCCCTCACCCACAAGTCTCGCACCCGGTCTATTTTCCTTCACAGGCGCTGCCGCCTCCTACCACGGTAAAACATCTATCCCTCCCTGGCAGTCATGACTGGCCTGTTTCTCCCCCCGTTATCACTCCATCACGGATATCTTCCGTCTACGACGTATCTCATCCAGTCAATGACGGGCCAAGCCTTTCCCCGTCTTTTACGCTCGTCCGTCTGCGAAGCAGCCAGTACTACGTACTCCGTACCCGTCCGTACCTTACATGCTGAGCCTCTTCCAGCCCTGTCCGATTACCTTACTCCACGGCTGCCGCGGCCGGGTGTGAATCTGGTAATCTGGGCCGACTACATACTAAGGTAACGCATATCCAGCCAGGGGTAGGTACCGTAGAGAAGTACCGTACTGCCGCCGATGCGGCCACAAGGTATAGCTAGTCACCCCCCCCCCCCCCCCCCCCGCGCAAATGCGCTTGCTCTCTGATGCTGGCGGGTTTGACGCTGAAATGGGATTATGGGGGGGGGTGGAGAGGAAGCCATGGGGGCCCGCATTCGCACCCGCACTCAAATCGACCCCATCGTCTTTGACCAAGTACCGCCCACTTTTTGGTGTACGAAGTACCTCGCTTCTGGCTGGTATCCGTATTGCGTCGTAGTTGGTGGCTCCCGGGCTTCTTCTGGTGCCCTTCTCTGACCATTCGTTAGGTAACTGGGGGAGACAGATTTGTATCAAGAGCCCCAGTTTCTTCTCTCACTCGACGAGCCCCAGAAGGCATAGAAACACGGTTACAAGTACGGCCAAGCACGAGCACAAGCAAAGAAGACCGGAGAGAGGTATCAAAAAAGACAATGGTGCGAAGACAGTAGACTTCCTTAGCAAACCTTAGCTGGCTGAGGCCGAGTCTCGCACATGGCGAATCGCAGAGCGTATCTACAGATTCAGCACAGGTTGTTCAGGAGCCAAGCACTATTACTGTACCGTAAGAAAGCCAGTCAGGGTCAGGACAAGGTCTAGGAAGTATTCGTACAGGGACGATGGGACCTAACCAGACCAGGCCGAGGATTGAGGGACAGAGTGAGTGAGAGAGTGAGCGTCTGAGAAACTGCCCACGCCCTGCCCTGGGGTTCCTTCCCTTGCCCTTCCTCCCATCCAAATGTCCAGGTTCCTCTCCCCCCCTCCCCCCCCCATCTGTCTGGTCTGGGATTGGGATTGGGATTGCGATTGCGATTAGGACCGCCCGCACCCCCCCGTCCTGCCATCCACACCGTCCACGCAATCCACACCCTCCTCGCCGTCTTTTTCCCACCTTGTAACTTGACTTGCACACACACCTCACTCCCCACGTCGTCTTTTCTTTCTTCTCTCTCTTCCTTCTTTACTCTACCTCAGGAATATCGCTGCACCCTGTCTACGCATCTTCCTCTCTCCTATCTCTTTTAAATTTATCACCCCGTCCTTCCCTCCTTCCCCAACTTTACTCTGTTCCTTCTTTTGGAAGAAAATTGTTACGCCAACCTACTGTCATTGTCATCCCTCCCAGGACCAGCCAACTTACCCCGGGCCACCCCTCAGTCCCCCCCAAAAAGCCGCCAAAGCTTTTTTTTTCCCACACCCACCCACCGCTGCCACTCGACCTCGCATAACTTATATATCCAGCCGACCTCCCACACCCACCACACCCGCACTCTCTCGACTCCCTCATCCACGCCCGCTCACCACACCACAAGCAACATACAGCAACTCGAAACCGCACTCACGATACTTGAGTTCGGTTATACACATCGACGACCACACTCGTCGACTACTATTGGAAAGGACAAAACAAGAGAAAGGGTTCGACCACCTCCGCAAAGCGGCCTAGCTCTGGATTATCAGGGCAAATGGACGATCACATGCAGCAGACACAACCGTCTCCTTTCAATTTTTCAAGTTTACTTAACCCCGATAAGAACGACACAATGATGTCTGGCGATGCCATGGAAACTACGAGGCTTGGTCCTCTCAACGAGCTGAAGCCCAAGGGTCCTCTTCCCGGCCAGACCGCCGAGAACCCCAACGAGCTGCCTCGCCCCTACAAGTGCCCCTTGTGCGATAAGGCCTTCCACCGCCTTGAGCACCAGACGAGACACATCCGCACTCACACTGGAGAGAAGCCTCACGCGTGCCAGTACCCTGGCTGCAGCAAGAAGTTCTCTCGCTCAGACGAGCTTACCCGCCACTCAAGAATACACAGCAACCCTAACTCAAGGAGAGGCAAGAACCAGTACAACTCTGGCCCTCAGTCACATATGCCCCAGGATGGCATGATGGCTCCTCCTCCCGCACCCAAGACGATTCGTTCTGCGCCTACTTCGAGCTTGTCCTCGCCCAACGTCTCGCCGCCGCATTCCTTCTCTCAGTACGTCTTGCCCGCTCACCCGGGACACGGCAGCCCCTTTGGCCGCCAGTCCAACATGGACATCTCCATTTTGGCAAAGGCTGCCAACCAGGTCGAGCGTGAGACGCTCACCGCACCGCCTTTCCACGGCTCTTCTGCCAGACATCACCCCTACTACTCCCATAGCCTGCACAACTCGCGCGGCCACCTTCCCTCCCTCTCAGCTTATCACATGTCGAGATCGCACTCCAACGACGAGCACAACGATGACCACTACGCTGGTTCTCGCCACGCAAAGCGATCTCGCCCTAACTCGCCCAACTCCACGGCACCCTCCTCTCCTACCTTCTCCCACGACTCCTTGTCGCCTACTCCGGACCACACCCCCATCGCTACACCCGCTCACTCCCCGAGACTTCGCCCCATGGGATATGAGTTGCCTTCTCTCCGCAACCTTTCCCTGCAGCACGCAGCGCCTCCTGCTTTGGCTCCTCTCGAGCCTCACCTGGAGACTCCTTACCTGCCTCCTCCTCCCGCGCCTACCAGCGCCGGAACGCCCACCCGCAACGGCGCTTCTTTGGCAGACATCATCAGCCGGCCTGACGCTGGCAGGAAACTGCCAGTCCCCAAGATCGGTGTTCACCAGCTTCTGGACGGAAACGACGGCTTCCAGAGCGGCAGGAGTTCCACCACTGGCAGCGTTGCCGGTGGCGACCTCATGGATCGGATGTGACGGGAACGACAACCTTAAAGTGGCATGACCTGACGACCTGGGCAATAGACGGGATAGAAGAACAATGGCGTTTCCGGGTATTTTCGAATTGGCAGAGTTGGGCCGACCACGACTTCTTTATCTAATCACAAAACAACGAACCAACCAAAGAATCGATGGGCTCCCCTTTTACAGCGGCGGCTACACTCAATCTTATAGACTCACTCCTATCTCGATGGACGAAGAACCAGAGATTGGACGTACGACTCCCTCACCTCTCAACAACCACGAAAAGCAAAACTCATTTTTCCTGTGTCTTTTTTTTTTTCTCCTCTCTTTCTTGTGTGTGTGATGGATATAGGAATTTTGTGAGTGTGTGTGTGTGTGTGTGTATATGAGAACGTCAACGGGTCGCTACAAAACCCGTCCTTTCTCATAGTGTCACGGATTTGCTTGTATTGGCGATGGGACGGAGACAAACCAAGATATCAACCTATAGACGGCGGGAACAACTTTGGGCGGTGTACATGAGAGAACTTTCTTCTCTCTCGGGCGGTTTTTTAGTTTTTTTTGAAGCGCAGAGACAGCGCTGACAACTGGGTCTACTGGTCTTTTTTTATTATTATGTCTGGCTTTTCCTTTACGATGAACGTCGCCGCCTAGGCTGGCTGGACGAAAGCTTGTTTTCTTTACAACTGTTCTTAGACAAGAGATTTACTCGATAAACCCTCGACAAACTCGAGGAGAAATCCAAACAGATCTTCCCCCCACATTTTACCATGGTTCACTCCTCGCCGTTTGACGAATCTACCTAGTGTATGTATGTGTGCGTGTCTCAAACAGTAGACTGATTTGTCCCCCCTCTCATGTTTGCAAATGTGATGTGTGCGAGGTGCATTTGGGGTGTGACCAAGAAAACCACCACCCACACCACCGATGATCGGACCCGTGCCCAGGCGGCCGTTTGTTTTCCTCTCTCTCCCTCTTCCTTAATAACCACGGGTGTAGAAACGGGATGGGTTGGAAAGGGGAGAGGGGAGAGGGGAGAGGAGGGTGTGGTGGACGGTTTGGTGGTGTCCGGGGTTCGCGGGCGCTGCGCGGGCGTTTCCCTCCACATCCCTCTCTTTCCTGGGGCCCCCCCACCCCACACACTTTTACTTTTGTGTAGAGAGGTAGTAGGTATGACGCCGTACGTAATCTGCGCAACTTTTTGCAAACGAACTTGCAGACGGGTAGGTAGGGATAAGTAGTGAAATACCCAACTCGACATCGCTTTTATCCCCACAAACATCTGCCACATATCTATCCGGTAAGGGATCTTGAAAGAAAAAGAAAAAAACAGACTCAGGTAACACAACAAGAGTGAGGTGTCAGGTTCCCAAAAACTAGCACCGTCGGGAATCCAAACTTTTCCGGGGTTCGGGTGGCGGACTGGGGAATTATTTCTGGGGAAAAGGGCTCCTGCTTTCTGACCAAGGCGCAACAGCTCTGAGCTGGGGAATGAGACGCCCAAATTTGGGATAAGGGATTTTCCTGCTTCTCCTCCTCCCCTCTCAAAACGTGATACTCTCAACCATTGTGCCCAGATCCGTACAAATCTGTGGAACGTTTTTTCTTGATGGAATTTCTCGACTAAACTACTAACATGACCAGACTTGCAAAGAAACAACACTCCGTAGGAGACACAGGAAACTCAGGTTTGGGCTTAAAGTACAAGTTGTGTATACAGACACACCCCTTTCATAAGGCGTTGGATATTTAATCTTGATCCGCCTATTCCGCAGGGCTGTATTGTTTCCCCGGGGGTGCGTATGCGTACGGAGTATGTGTGTGTGTCATCGAAAGGGAAAGGGACAACGCAACAACTACCTTTTTTTTTTTTTTTTTAAGTTGTCATTACGCCGAGTGAGTATAGATAGCATAGCGTAAGGTACAACTTACGGATAACGCCAATGCGACTTTACTCCCCTTTTGCCCAGCCAACATTAAGCCCTGCGAGGCCAACCCTCCATATGTACAACTATTCGTAAAAAACCAAGGCAGGTATCTTCCAGCCCAGGTTCCAGGTTCCAACTCCCAACCCCATTCGTAAGGGAAAAAGAAAAAAGATGATTTTTCTCTGTTTTAGTTGGTGTTATTTGTCCCATCTAGGCCCTATCTTTCATCCATCTTCTTTGGCCCCATGTCGTTCCATGGCTGGGGTTGGTGGGCTCTTGGGCGGTTAACTGACACACGCATACACACCCCCATGCCTGAAAGTCACTACTCAACTTCCCATACCTACCCCTTTGGATCGTCGTCTGCAACTGGATGGCAGCATGGCTTGTCACTGCGCGGATAGATACGGATACATTTGATCAACGTATCCGCAATCTGCACTTGTTACAGAGAAGCACCTGCAGGCTGCATCCAGCATTTCATCTTTTGCCTGCCGGAGTCACTCCAAGCGCCTTTCCCCGGAATCTTTGCAAAAAGAGACCCCAGGATTGTACTGCTCATGGCTCGACATCGTCATCAATAGTGACAGTAGCCCCTTCCCCGACTCATGAGCGCTAGTAGATCCTGATCGACCGAGACCCGTGGAGAAAGATAGGGCAATCTTGAAATCTCGACATTTTTGTGAGAGCATTGAGAATGGGGTCCGCGAGACCCCATTTTGCCTATCAACTACCTACGCCAAGATGGGGTGGAGGGAGGAAAGGAAAGGGCAGGAAACAAGAACCACTTTGCTTGTGTCAAGCCATATCTCGGCCAAATCCCCCAATGCCCCATGCCAACTTGAACGAACATTTCGATAAACCTGATGGAATGATGCGCTGATGTGGAGTTTCGGCGCAGGTGCAAGAGTCAGTTCCCCTGGGTCCCAAGGACCCCTCCAGCAAGTCAACAACCCTTTTTCATGCCCCCCCCTCCGGCTCTCGAGCTCTCTTCCCTACCATATCCGTCCTTGTCCCTCCCGTCTCCAGGATTCAGGAGAGTGAAAAAAAGGTCTGGAACGGACGGCATTACGTATTTCTCTGGGGGATGATATCACACCCTGCCCCACTGTCACTGGCATGAAGGCGTTGCGTTGGCATCGATTCTGACACTTTGCCTGGTTTCCGTGGGGTAAGAAGAAGAAAAGAACAGAAAAGTTTTTGTTTGACAACTCCATAGGATCTTCGTAGCCGGAAGGATGTTTTTTTTTTCGTCCTCCCCCCTTCCCCCACTCGCGTCCTGTGTATATCAGATCATTGCGACGACATAAGCAAATGTTGTCGGCCAAGAATAGCATGATCCGGAGCCTGCGGATGCTGTTCTGTGCAACGGAGGGGCCAAAAGGGGGCGCGGCCAAGACAGTGACATTCAAAAATTCCCTTAGTGTCCCCAGTTTCAAACGGAGGTCGGTGAATGATGACTCAGAAAATGTCACTGTCATTTTCCCCATACTATGGCGGGGGGGGGATGGTGTGGGTTAGCTTTCTGGGGATGGTTGCTTTTTGCCCTTGCCGTATCCCATTTTCGGCCACCAAGGGGTGGTGGGCTCGGTAGTTGGGTGGCGAGATGCTGTTGGGCCAGGAACGCAACTCGTAAACTCCTCCGACTCATCAAAAATCAGCTTCTTTGGTTTGTGCGCCGAGCGAGCAGCAGCAGCCCAGCCACCAAAAAGTGTTTCTGCACAACTCGGACTGCCAGATTGCGTTGCGGTTCCTTTCCGTCCCTTTCCTCGGACGACGACAACTCCGGCCTAATCATGCCCCAAGGTTTTGGGCTGAGTCGTTGAATACCGCTCACTTGTTGTCGGATTCACCAGTGAGTCAAGGCACATGCAAACTGCCAGTCTTTTCCTCCCTGTCGCAGCTGAGGCGGCGCGCGAACCACCTCGCCAGTTATAGCCTTTGAGCCAGGTCCGGTGTAGGTCGCATTTACGACAAGACTCGTCACATGTGAGAGCGCAAGCCATGGCTTGTCCATCGGGTGTTGGCATACCAGCCCTTACTGGCAAGTAGTGGCACATCACCACTTCCGACGCAGTAGAGCAGACCTGTAAGTATGGTTTCGGACGCGGTGCAACGTTGGCGTTTGGCCGTCGCAATGTGGTCGCAATGTGTCCTGTTGAGCGGCCTCCAGGAGGCGTACACCGAGCGCAGGGCGGCATGGCGACGAGGGCCGCAATAGCGGGAGTCCGTCCGCTGCTGCTCGATGGTGTTATCTTCCGTGTCGGCTAATGGAAACCTATCCAAGGCAACGCGTGTCTGTTGTGTCTCTTCTGCGCGCCTCCAGATGGCTGCCTCGATGCACACGACTCTCGTCTGCGCCTGTCTCTCTAAACAGAAAATCAAGGCCACGCATGCGTGGTTTGCCTGGCTATTTCCTCACCGCCACAATATTTTGAAGCGATAGGTCAAACTGGGCACACACTGCCACACGAGATGGTGTGGTAGATGCAGACCTCTCCCACAGAGGGTGACTACGTACAACGCTTGAGGATGGGTGTGTTGAATGTGAAAATCGATCGCCAAAGCCACGGAGCAAGTTGCAGGAGGAGTGGAGACCGGGGGAGTCTGGGGGAGAGCGGCATGGCGTCTTTGGCCTACTTGGAAGACGTTCCGATTCGAAGAGCCCTGAGATGGAATTGCTTTTCGAGACAGCGTATGCGGGCGAGGCCGCCCTTCAAAGGATTGTGCACTGTCGCCTGCCGTGTAAGTTCAAGCGGCCAATGCTCCCGGGGAAGGGCGGAAGATTGGGGGGGTGCGGGAGAGAAGAGACGAGACATGACGCGGATATCCAAGTGAGTGCTAAGATTTAGACAACCGGGTCAACGAGATGTATCCAAATCTCGGGAAGAAACCTGGGTTGCTTGGCTTGTGACATCGCTGGCTGGATGGTTTGCTTTTTGAGTGACGGCCTGACGCCCATATTGCGCCCCCAAGAAGGACGGAAAAGTCAAAGACAGTGAGCACTGCTCGGCGGTACACCTGTTTGTTTGACTCCAGGAGTCAGGTCCTTTGGCTCGATGAGCTTGTCGAAACATGATCTCGCAGTTGAGACACCCTCGCGGGCGCTTAGACAAAAGGACAGTGACACTCCTTCTCTTGATCGTTCCGCCTGACGCTGACCCGAGGACTGGGGTCATGGTGTGATGGCGCTAATCTGCGCTTCCAACAGACCACATGCGCTAACTTTCTGGATGAGAAGGCCAGCTGAGATGGGGGGCTGTCTTTCTCTTGACTTGGCAAAGCCTCCCGGGTTGGGAGAAGAGGGTGTCGCAATTTGTCGCGGTTGCAGGGAGACGCAAGCCAGGCTGACCAAAGTGTGGGGGGATCTAGTAAGAATCTCGTCGATGAGAAGATAGGAGATGCCGCGCCTGTCCGATGACCTCCGGCGCATGACTTGGTTCTCACTTTACTTTGATATGTCATCGCTGGTGATGTGCGCGCAGCTCACGCCTGTCACCGCAAGCAATGCCGTGCTCTCTCCGGTATCCGGGGGCTGCTGAAGACCACATCCCGATTGCGCCCGAAGCTGCTCTTATCGTGACTCCGAAGAGATGTGGCTGGCCCCATCTCGCTTTCTTCGGCATTAGCCATCATCGTTTTGCACACCACACCCTCTTCAAAGTTCAAGCGGCGCGGGCAGGCTGGTGTGTCGGCGTTGTGTGAGCCCCCCCACGAGCTGCCCCACGAAATTTACCCCGGTATCTAAAGCGCGTTTTGACGTCGTTTTATGGAGTTGTGGGGGAGAAGGCGTGCTCTCATGCAACCTTGTTGGGACAGCCGGAATCTTGCGCCAGAATGGGCGATAAGCAACCAGATCCATCCATAGATCTCTTCAATGACGCAGCGACCCCATCCAAGTTATCTTGGATGATAACACGGATTCAAGACCTCTGTGAAGAACACCATCTGTATCCGTACGCCCAGCTCTTGTCCTCTTGGCCTCTCCCACAGGCTACGCCGTTGTTTCGTACCGTGGGCTTGGCCATTATTGCTGACAGGCCAGCATGCCCCGTGTCAATCAGTCTTTCCCGCTGTGTGTCAGCGAGCCAGGGCCTCGGTATGCCGATGACAGGTTGACGGTAAAATTAGGACCATCCCTGAATTGAGGCGAAGCTGAAGCCTGTCCCGTCCCATCCGATCATTATCCGTGCCGTCAATCCGCGGGATTGGAAATCAACATACGGAGTACCTACACAGGAGCTGATTTCCTCGCACCTAGCAAGCGTAGTCTTCGGGACTTGGGGTCCTAGGTGTCACGGTGCCTTGGTGAAGGTTTCGCCCGCAACTCCCGCTTGATCTAGTAATATGTCGGACCTGTTTCCCTGTCCGACAAGCCGTGACTGGTTAGTATAATGGCTTTTTCCCGCCGTTGGCGTAGTTATGAGTCTGGCAGCACGCCGTGACCACTGACAACGCAAAATCGGGTTGTATCTCGGCATCTCTCTCGGGCGCCATCTATCCGCTGTGCCTCGGGAGCTCGAGGTGGACGCATGCTCCGGCTGAAGTCATGGTGCGACGGATCGACAGGATGAACTGGCGCTCTTGTGCTCTAGAGTGTACCGGTTATCCGCAGGCATCTCTAGTTGTCGCTCGCATACGGAGTACTGCGAATATCATCCAACGCCATACGGCCCATAGCCCATGGTATAGCCGCTGCAAGATTGATAGACCAGCGTACCCCATTGTGGATTCCAGCCTACCCATCACTACAACCCTGCGGGCGAGGTGCAAATTGCTTAGTCCAGTGTGGGGGAGAATCATGGTATGTTTGATGTTGATTGCCCAGCGAGCGTTCGTTCGTCTGGGGAAACGGGGATTTGACAACCTTCTAAAGTCCCTGATGCTGCCAATTTGGCGCAATGCATAGTCTTTTGACGATTCTAGCTTTGACGCCTAGCGACGAGGACTTTGGCGAATATTTCACCGTTGGTCAAGGCGGTTGCAGATAACGACGGCCAAGCGCTACCATAGTGTAATAACTTAATAAGCGTTGTAGGCCACGGAATGGTCTTCCCAACGGGTAGGTAGCGGGGGGTTGATCCTCCGAGGCGGACCACGGGTCCGAAGACTCAAGACATCCATTGAGACAACTTGGGAGGATGTGTGGTCTGCGTATATCAGCTGTTCAGGCGTATTTGGGCCTAGGAACGTAATCTTCCGCCGTCGGAGTTGACGCCAGAGGCCTTCTGATTCTCGTCATCAATCTTTTCAAGCCCCTCGAGATAAGAGCTGTACAATAAGGAGTTGTTGCGACGCATCAATTAGCCATGTCTCGAAGAGTTGCTGACATCAGACACCAAGCAGCTCAACCAGTCGATATGGGAAGCTGGTAGGAGACGCTGTGATTGGAGCGCCAGTTTGGCCACGGGTAGTGACAGATGGCTCGTTGCGTGGTTCGGTCCTCGGATTGGCGCGCTGCTGTATCTAAACTTTGGTAATCCAAATGGCGAATCGACCGTTCCAGGCCAAAGAAACCCCCCGCATCATGCCCACTTGCGCGAGCCAGGTTCTACCCCGGCGATACCATTGACAAGCCTCATGCGATGAAGTGCTGGTAGTGTAATTGTGAGCTAGTTCTCTCAACTAGGCGTGGATGGCGGGTAAGTGTGCAGCGACCGGAGAAGCGGGACGAAGAGTTGGTTCGATACCGGCTGAAAAGGATTGAGGAAGTGTGCTTGTGTATCCGAACGGATACGGGGGACTGATTATTGATCGAGAACAAAGCTAGAAAGGACACAGACGAGAGGCCAGGAATAGACAAACTGGCGAGACACGGGGGGAGAACCGGAACGGTATCCGAAGAGTCGATTTCTGGCGTTCTCAGATTCAACCCCTTGCAGGCCGTCAAGGCTGCCGAGATGCACAAGCAGTTTGTGTTTCAGTGTGCTCAGGGGCGGTTTGCTTGCTTCCCGTGCGTGCATGATTCCGTCGACGGATTTTGCTGGCGAGAGTGTTGAGACCCTGAATCATAATGGAGTCGAGAAGAAGACGATGCAACGTCCGGTCCTGGTCCCCAAAGAAACACCATTGCTGTTCTGTTCCTCCTTTGGGTAATCCGAATGAAGTGGGGGAGAGGCTTTCATGAGCCCTTGATGAAGGAGCTTCCGGAGCACCTCCAAACATCAGAGATAGGCAAGCAGCCCCCGAATCTCCCCTCGGTCTGGAGACTGGTGGTGCCGCGGTGGTCGGTGGAAGCCGAATCAGGAGAAACGGAGGGTAAATTCCGTCAATCAGTAACGACGAAAGGCGCCAGGCCTGTGGTACCGTCTTATTACGGCAACCCCGGTCCGTTCTGGGGGAATGGGCTGGGGAAGGCAGGGAGCAGAGGGAAGGGGCGGGGGGGGGAGGCACGACGGGATTGACCAGGGGAGGGGGGCGTGTGGAGGATGGGGAAGGATAGCGGGTGGTGCAGCTGTTGGAATAGCAGGCGCGGCAGGATCTGGGAGCCTCCTTCTGACGCTGGACGGTCTGACCTTATCTGTGGGGAAACATCGAAAGATGTTCCCCAAGCGGGTCCTGGCCTGAGAGTGAGGTGGTGCCGGTGGTGACTGCCCTGAACATCGATGCGCTGCCAAGCTGCCCTGAGGGAGGCAAGTGGCTTCTTTCCTTCCATTTTCCATTCCTGCCCGGTTTGGATTTGGAACCGAATCCCGGCTCCGGGTCCCCTTTGACCTCCGGGACATCCCTTCACCTCAACTGAGGTAGTAGGGCACTCCCAAGGTTCCCTCTTCATTCGCCCTTGTTGTGTTTTTTCCAAATCCCACGATTCACACCCTTCGATCCCCTTCCGAGCAATCGGCCAAACCCCCCCCCCAGGCCTATCTCCCGCGCCCCAGCTTTCTGTCAATGATTTTCGGCTTGCGGCATGGGTATCCAAGATGGCGAAACCGGTAGGGGAGTGTTGATGGGAAAACCGCCGATTCACTCCACTTCCTATTCTTCCTCTCGGTGCTTCCTCTTGCCTAATCCGACCTAGATTCTCTCACTCTTCTCGGCCTTACATGAGAATTTGACATTGCATTCGATCCAAGAGCCCCGTAGCACTACAGAAAGCCCGCAATAGACCCTGGAAATCGCAAATACATGATACACTAATAACTCTGTATTCGTGTTGATACGATAGTCGAATGGATTCAGCCGAAAAAGGCCTCTCATTCCCCAGATGGAGAGCGCGCCAATGGAACAGCAGCCACCATGCTTATCGGCGCAAAACAACGGCCAGGTGCCTGGACCCTGGATGGCGGTTGAAACTCCTTCCCCTGGCCTCTATGCCTTTATTGACACCTTTGCCGCCTCAATCAGAACTTCTGCCCCTCACCGGCGCCTCGGTGTGCCTTCAGCCGCTACTACTCACCGTTCCATCCGGGACCCTAACTTGCGTCGATACGAGCCAAGATGCGTGGGTACCATGCCCTCGATGCGAGGGCCAATGCAAAGTGCATGGCATGTCACCCTGCCCAATTTGTTTCGCATCTCGCGCCCTAGAAGTTCGTTTGCTCTCAAGACCTTGATATCCCGCAAAAGGATTCATACGGGGTACTCAATAAGCGTTGCTGCTGCTTCACAAACTGTCTAGGTCATACGATGGTACCTTGCGTATGTACGCAGTATGCACCGCCTTATGGAGACATCAATTTGGCACACCTGCATCAGTAAACCATGTCTGTCAGATATCGTTGATAGAAGTCATGGCCAGATTGTGTATACAGTATCGTGTGATTACAGTGCACAAAAAGCTCTGAATTCTTATCATCAATCGCCTGCATTGCCGTTGTGGTCTTCTCCGCAAGCCAAGCGCCTTTCGCTGCATCTGAGCCGAGAATATTATACAAGTCCGGCACTTCATCAATCAAGTTCATCCCATCTACGCATTCTCCAGCTTTCCCCGCCGGTACCCCCGTGTTCTATCACCGGCCCCTCCATCCCGAGTTACCCAAGAACCGACCAACGACAACTCCGCTCAAGGAGCCTCATCCGCCGCGCTACATAGAGTATCATCGGCCTTCTCCACGATCTTGGGATCTGTCCTTTCCGGATGCCGGGCCGGAACCCGATCACTCTTTCCGTGCGGGGGCTAGTCTGCGCCTCTCCCATCCCCAAATGTTATGTCGTGCAGTGCACACATGGGATTACGGCCCGGGGAAAGCGTTAATCTTGATACCGGCTAAGACGCCCGTCGGAGAGGAGTTTGGCTTCACCGAGTGTGGGAAACCTCGTCACCGAAGTATACTCTTTTCGATGTAAACGGTTAGCCGGTGGCTTGGGACGAGACTGGCCATGTTACCATCCAGACACCCTTTCGAAGACGGAAGCCGGTATAGCTTACTTACTGAATAGTGTGGTGGCCTAGAGATTTGACTGGCTGATGGGTTGATTGGCCAGAGGGAGTGGCATCAGATGAGATAAGTCTTGATAGCCGACAAAGCAGATGCGCCCATGTCTACTACATGCCTTGAATCTATCTTCAGTGCATTGGTTAACTTATGCATGGCCAGCTGCTGGAAGAAGAATCTTCAACTGACTTCTTCCAAGGTCATGAGGAAGCATATGCTCGTTCGCCCTCTGAGTACTTTACACCTGACCTGTCCAGATACGCTTTCTATGCTCTTACACAGGGTCCCCGAGGCATGCCCCGTAAGTGAAGTACAGTTCCTGACACAATCAACTACTAAGTCAACATCGACACTATCAAATTCTGGCGATTACTTTTCAAATGTCGATGACGATGTTTTACCTAGCTGTCTGTTTTGTGCCTTCTCGATTCAGTAATGCCAGAAAGTCTTCTCACTTCAGATCTCTTACTTTGCTCACGCAAGTCCCCTCAAATGCTCATCACACTTTCGGACTTTCTGCTCATGAGCTATACTCCACGAGCATTTGAATTTACAATTCTGTGGCTTACGCAGATGCAGATGAAAAGGATTGACATTACCAGGTATCAGTCAGGCCTGTAACAAATTATCAGGTATGAAGAGGAAGAGGGCCCCTCAGTTGTTTCAATGTGTTAGCCGTGTCTTAGAGAACGATTTGAGAAGTCGGCAAGATGTTATAACCGTCAAAAAGGGACCGATCCGCGGTTCGAACGCGGGACTCTTGCAGACAATTCAATGAACCCAAAGCAAGGATCTTACCACTTGACCAATCGGCCTGACGGTTGATGTCTTCTTGTTGAAATCACTGCAATCGAATTCGGAATAAGATTGAAAGGTTTGTGGTTGGGATGGGTCGAATACGTGAGGTGAAAGGCTTGGTGCGGGCGGTGTATTGAGTCATCCGGCAGGAGCGAGTGTGGAACGACCTCACCTGAACTCATGACACCTCAGGAAAAAACGGAAGTGGAATGTGCGCCCGAGTCGTCAGGTCCTTGACGAGAACTTGAATTTCCCCGCCGCCTTCCAAAAAAGTAAGCTACTTGGCACCTTGGCAATTGTTGGAAGGAGAAGGTGTCCCTACACATACAACCACTACCTTCCGTCAGGGACGCTTCCCTCGATAAGCAGGTGTCAAAAGGATGAGATCGTGGTGCTTTCCCGCTGTAAAATCTTCTACAATCGTTGCTGCGGACGGGCTGTAATGAAGTCTGGCGTTAGTATAGGCTTAGTCGGTTGAGGGAAGTCGATGGCGGCTTGCTCTTGACGATGAACGTCGGCAGACGACGGCAATTGGAAATTTACGTCGGCCAACACCTTCCATCATGGAACTTGTTGCTTTCCACTATGAGTTCCTGGGGTTCCTGGTGTTACCATGTTGAGGACATTCTATACGTGTCTCCCAACTTGTCCTCCTTCATCAACCCTGGACCCCCTTTCTCGAGACGCGGCTGTTCCTCCAGAGCGTTGTCTCGCAACGAGGCTTTCTATCTTGAGGGCATCCTGTAAGTCTCTATACCCACGATAGTCTGTAGCAGCGCTGACTTCTTTCTTTAAGAGACTTGCGGCTGCTTCCGATCCTTTCAAATTCCGTGCCCACCTCTCCTTCACCCCGCCTAGACGACAGCCATGCGAGAACTCCCTCCTCTACAGCTCGACGGCATCGAAGCCGAGATGGATAATGACAACACACGGCCCGATACTTCGAAGAGCTCGGACGAGCCTAACCCGTCTTCGTTCCGGCCTCGCTCGAAGAATCAGAAGCAACATCGGGTTAGATATCGCTTTCTCACTCCCTCCGAATGGGCTATCGTTGCTCATGGCATCGGCGGTGTCAATGATACCGAAGGACACATTGCCCTTCATCCTTCCTGCTGGTATTACCCACCCAAAGGTATCCCCAACGGACTGTACCGAGATGTCATTTGGCACCGGACCAAGTACTTCTACATGTACCACGGCATGAGCTCCATTCGATGGGTTGCCTATATTCTTCAGATCATTCTCGGCGCGATTCTCACCGCAATCGGTTCCATGTCCTTCAAGAACGGCACTCCCATCACCATAATTGCGGCTACGAACACTATCAATGCTGGAATACTCGCACTTTTGCACAACAGCGGACTGCCCGACCGTTACCGCTCCGACCAGGCGGAGTTCGATGAGGTTGAAGACCACCTCAAACAGATCCTCGACACTGGTATTGTCCCGGAGAGCATGTCTGTTGACCAGGCTCTCATCCATTGCTTCAGTCTCTATCACGAGGCTAAGAAGACCGTAGCGGCAAACATCCCGGCAACTTACACCCCCAGCTCAGTTCTCGGAGCTGGTCAGCAGGTTGGTGAACCGCAAAAATCCAGCGCCACAGGTCCAACGACACCCAACGCAGCTAGCGGCGTCATTGCAACCAGACTTTCAGTGGCATCACCAAAAACAAGTGAGGCACAGGCCATCGAGGAGAAATGAGGAGAAATGAGAAGGCGTCGTGGCATAGGAATGAGAGGATAGGCTGATGAGAAGTTTGTATTACCCGTCCCCTGAACTATCGTGGTATCGAAGGATCCTTGGTGCCGTTTAGCCATGGCCTTGGCAGCAGTAGATGATATAATCCCTTGCGTCAAATTGGGATGGGGATGAGTGAGAAGGACAAAGATGCATTCTTAGACCTGTTCGCTTTGTATCTAATTGTGTCGTCTGGAGTGGCGGGAGCGAGATTCTTGGAGCAACGTCATGGACTATGAGGATGACAAGTTGAAGTGATTCGACTAAATGAATACATGTGCTACATGCCCTCCAAGCCTTGGCAAGGATGCTGATATCTTACACTACAAGGAAATGCTTCTCGTACATGCTCTTATTCCAACGCACTGCCCTTTTGTGTGCCGGGATCATCCCCAGTTGATGCCGAGGAACCTGACGCCTTTCTTTCCAGAACCGGTCGCCGTGTCTGCGTTCTCGAGGTAGTGTCGCTGGTGCCCTCTGACATCAACGTATAGGTATTTGTACTCAAACTCGCCAGAGATGGGCGTCTTGATCATGTGCAGGTAAACCACGCCCCTGTTGAGGGGTCCCTCGACATGGAAGTGCATCAGCATATGCTCATGACCTCTCGCATCCTTGTTGATAGTAGAGCTATTCAAGTTAGACTTGCAGAATTCTAGTTACGGGGAGAGCGACATACGCAATTGGACGAGCTCGTCGCCACTTGTTATACGTTTCCTCGCCATGGCAAACAATCTTCTTCGAGTCTCCCAGCATTTCGATGCATTTCTGATCGGCCTTGATCTTGTCGACGACTCGGTTGAAGACAGCGGTTTTGCTGTCCGGAGAGAAGACGTCTGTCCACAGGACATATGCAACTCCGCCCTATTAGACCACCTCCATCATTAGCTACTAGTTGCCGCGGGGTAGAAGTCATCTGACTTGCCGTCACTGCGATACCAGCCAGAATCAACCCAAAGTTGAAGGTCTGCTGTGTCGCCCTGGCTGCCTTCTCTCCCCCAGACAGTTGCGACCAAGGTACCGAACCATTGTCGTTGAATGGCGTGACTTTCTTCCGTTTCGAGCTGGTTGTCGAGGCGGTCGTTCCGAGACCATACTGCGTCGCATAGCTTCGCTGGAGTAGCAGAGGTTGTAGTCGGGGCGCAAGACCCAGTCTCGCGGTTGCGCGGATCGCATTCGAGCAGGTAGTCGTCTTCATCATGGTGGTTCGACGTCAGCCATCGTACGGCCGCAGCAAGCAGGGTACGGTAGTGGTCGAAAGAGAGCTCGGCAGTCGAAAGTTGGAGCTCCCCATGTAGCTGGTCTGGGCGAGCTCTGCAAAAAGCCTCTTGACCGCCCTTGGCAGAATCTCAATTGCCAACCCACTGTGGGGGAATCGATCTAGCCACGTTAGGTCTAGCGCTCTGGCTACATGCCACTTCACCCAAGGGCGGCGACTGCCTCCTGAACTTTTGGACACGAAATTCAGATAACTCCGCTCTCTGCTTCGCTCTCGCTTGCGCATCATTTCTGTACCCGCAACCTGCACCCTCTTTCCGCTCCCTTTGATATTTCGGCCTTCGCAACAGGTTGCGCTTTCACCTCCAGGACCAGAAGCACACAACTGAATTGTTGCCAGTATCGTCACGATGGCTGCACTCGCTTCCAAGCAGCAGTCGCTCAAGATCTTTGAGAAATTGAAGACTAAGCCTGCGAACAAGGTATGCCCAACACCATGCACCCCCTTATGCCCAAAGTTCGTTGTGCAGTGCTGATTGATTTGCGCACCCCCAGATCTGCTTCGATTGCGGCGCCAAATATCCGACATGGACCTCAGTCCCCTTTGGCATCTACCTCTGCCTCGACTGCTCGTCTAACCACCGAAACCTCGGTGTCCATATCTCCTTCGTCCGATCCACCAACCTCGACCGTACGTGTACTCGATGACCGTCTACCCTTTCCCCCCTTGACTGACCCCTACGATAGAATGGCAGTGGGATCAGCTGCGCGTGATGAAGGTTGGCGGCAATGAGTCGGCCACTAAGTTCTTCCAGCAGAATGGAGGTACCGCGGCCCTCAACAGCAAGGACCCCAAGACCAAGTACCAGTCCAACGCTGCTACCAAGTACAAGGACGAGCTGAAGCGCCGCGCCGCAAGAGATGCTCAAGAGTGTGTATACCGACCTTAGCTCACAGTTGCCGGACAAGCTGACAAGATAGATACCCTGGCGAGGTTGTCATTGCCGAAGCCACCGATGCCGACACGTCTACCCCCGCCGGCGAGCCGGACGACGACTTCTTCTCTTCCTGGGATAAGCCCTCTATCAAGAAGCCCACGCCCCCCATTTCTCGCACTTCAACTCCCCCGACCGTCGGCCGAACCGCCTCACCCTTCCTCAACGCCAACAACGGTGCCGGCATTGCACGATCCTCCTCGCCCCTGTCCAAGGCCGAAGGCGATAACAAGCCCACGGCCGGCCGCGTAACCACCTCTGCTGCGCTGCGCAAGACTACGACCTCCACCGGACCCCGTAAGGCCAACATCTTGGGAGCCAAGAAGGCCCCCAAGCTTGGAGTCAAGAAGGTCACGGCTGATCTCATCGACTTTGATGAGGCCGAGAAGAAGGCCAAGGAAGAGGCGGAGCGCATCGAGAAGCTGGGCTACGACCCCGAGGCCGAGGAGGAAAAGAAGGCTGCTAAGGTGGATGTTGTCGCGGCTCCTACTCCCGCCGCCCCCTCGGGTGGATACGGATCATCCAGCCATACCCGTCAAAAGTCTGACGCCGAGATGGAGCGCTTGGGCATGGGCGTTCGCAAGTTGGGCTTCGGCATGGTTGGTGGAGCCAAGGGTGCTGCCGCAGCGCCCAAGAAGGCTGGAACTGGTGGTTTCGGTTCCGTTGGCCCCATCAAGGCCAAGACTGAGGGTAAGGAACTCACTTTACCAAAGCCAGAATGCGCAACTGACAGCAATGCAGATGAAAGCGAGAACTACGCACGCAGCAAGTTCGGCGCCCAGAAGGGTATCTCCTCTGACGAGTTCTTCGGCAAGGGCTCTTTCGACCCCAACCAACAGGCCGAGGCGAAGAACCGTCTGCAAGGTTTCGAGGGCGCGACCTCCATCTCGTCCAACGCGTACTTTGGCCGTCCCGAGGATGAGCCGCAAGAGGAATACGGCGACCTTGAGGGCGCCGCCAAGGACTTCATTCGTAGATTCGGTATTACCGCTGGCGACGACTTGGAGAACCTTGGCCAACTGGCCGGCGAAGCCAGCCAGAAGCTGCAGGGTGCCATCCGCGCTTACCTCGGAAGCTGAGCGACTCGACATGACACAGTAGCAGCAACGTCATTGGAGATGACAGAAAGGAAATTGGAATTTCACTTTGCCATAGAGATATAGAAAAGCGGCCATGTCCCAAGGTCCCCCCCCTCAATGTTTTAGAGGGACGAATGCCATACGCCAGAGGAGGAGAAAGGTACGAAAGCAGAACGTTGGACAACGGCAGGCGGACGCGAAAAAAGGATACCTTGTGTGCTTTTCAGAGTCTGGGAGGTTGTGGTGTGGGGTCTCGAGGTTGGGACCGGGGGAAAAGACGACGCATGCTGAGGACCTTTTATTTTTTTATTTTGAGATTTGAGTTGCATCCCGGCATATGAGGGCGTACAGACAGAAAGCCGGCGACGGGGAGTGATTGACACTTGCTTGGTTGGTTTGGGTCTAATACATAAGTATGAATGAATATAATTGAGCTTCATCACTATGTTCTATCCCAACTCCGCTTCTTGGCGCTGGACAAAGTGATCGTCGTCGTATCTGCGGCTGAGGACATGTGTGGAGAGAGGATGCTAGTAAGGTGCCTACCTACCTTAGAAAGCATGTGAAGTATCCACTCCGCCGCGCCTAGCCTTTAGCCTTCCAGGGTCCATCGTGTTATGCGAGAGGGCGATGATTAGGAACAGGGCGGCAAACTCTACGGATACAGACTTGAGCGCAAGAGAGTGCGAGAACACGTTACGCTCTTGACACAGCCGTCACTGACGTCCCATTTTCTGACTGGCCACTTGTTAAAGAAAAAAGTTAATCTGATGTCGAGCACAGACGGAAACCGGTTCTCCCTCTTTGCCTTTGGGAAGTTGGGGGGATCTTGCTTATTTTCTGTTTCCCCCCCCCCCCAAAAAAAAAGTGTCAAACGGAAGTTGTGTGGAAGTAGAATGGTCATTTCATGATATGCTAGCAATCATCCATCTCAGGTCGTCTCAAATATACAAAACAAGAGCCTCATAACTCCAGGCCTTGGGAGACGCCAGGCATAAGTTTCCCCTGGCGCCCACCCAAAAATGCGACCAACTAGAAAAACATTACGCTTTTAGAATTTACAACTTGGCAATCATCTTGTTGCCCTTCTGGAGCCATGCAACGGCATCGTTGACAAACTCGTCCATGACTGCCTTTGCGGGCTTCTTCTCGTTACACACAGCCGCCGCCTTGCCCATGAGGAAGGGGCGGAACTGGTCGAGAGCGTCGTCAATGTCGACCTCGGCAGCGTTCTTGTCGCCGCTGCCCTCGCCATCACCAGAGTTCATGAGCTTCTCAAGATCGGCCTCGTAGGGGATGACACCCTTTGCGGTGAGCTCCTTGATCTCCTGCTGGCGCTCTGTCTCCCAGTTCTCAATGTACGGGTTCTTGCGTACACGGAGGGGTCGACCTGTGAAGATGAGAGTCTTGATGTTGTCGTCGTGGCCGGCAGTGCGGACAGCCTCCTTGTGCGCCTCGGGGGCACCAGCCTCATCAGTGAGAATGAAACGGGTACCAACCCAGACTGCACCGGCACCCATCATGAGGGAAGCGGCCAGAAGCTGGCCATTGTGAATACCACCAGCGGCGATGACCTGAACGGGGCCCTTCAGGAGAGGGCTCTTGGTGTTCTTGCAAAGGTCGACAACAGCGGGGATGAGGACAGTGGTGGGGACATCACCGGTGTGGCCACCACCCTCACCACCCTGGGCGCAGATGATGTCGACACCGAGGTCGAGGCACTTCTGGACGTGCTTGGGGTGTCCGATCATGTTCATATAGACGATGCCGGCAGCGTGGAGTCTGTCGACGACGTGCTTGGGGGGAACACCGACAGCAGAGACGAAGAGCTTGGCGCCCGACTCGATGATGATGTCAACGAGCTGGTCGAGCTTGCCCTTGGTGTAGTCGTAGCTAAAGCACGAGATATTAGCCTCGGTTAAAGCTTGTAGATGCGAGACATGCGCGCGCCCGCTTCTCTTGGAGAAACGTGGGTTTGGAGATTTCGGCACTTACTTGGTCTTTCTGGCGCTGCCACCGACCTGGGGAAGAAGCAGATCAACACCGAAGGGGGCGTTCTTGTCAACCAAGTACTCCTTGAGCTCTGCGATCTGCTCCTTCAGCATGTCCGGGGTGTAGCCGACACCACCAATGACACCGAGACCACCAGCGTTGGTGACAGCGGCAGCCAGCTTGGGGCCGGCAGCGACGTTCATGCCGGCAAGCAGGATCGGGTGCTTGATCTTGAAAAGATCGGTGATGGGAGTGCGGATTTGCTCTGTGATCGCGGAAAACGTGTCAGCAACGGCTCTGGGGCGACTCGTCTGTCGCATGTGACAGGTAAGGTCCGGATAGCAAGATGGTTACTTACGAGGTGACGCCATTGTGTCTGTGTTACTGGGTATGATAAATGCTAAAAGGATCTGGGTATATCGGGTCGTGAAGCTGTACAGACGAGGAAATTTGGCCTGGGAAGAGGAGTAGTAGATGAAGGAGAGAGCAGGTAAATCTTGTGGAGGAAGAGGTGAGATCTGGCAATCGGCGGTTTAAAGGGCTCCGGTGGTAGTAGCGCTCGGCATCAAAGGCACCTTGGTTTCTGGGGAAGAAGGGGCGGAGTAGCGTTGCCATGCGCCCCTGCTGGGAGTCCTGGACCGAGGTTCGCCTGTGACCTCAGCAACTAAGCCTGTTTGGGAAAGACGGGTCAGTCCAGCGGGGTGGATCTGGGGAAGAGATGCCGAGGGCCACTGCCAGCCGTGCCAGCCTCCAGAAGCGGGACAATTTCACAAGGGCACGCCGCACAATGGACAGCAAGCAACTGACCAACTGCAGTAGCAGGGAAAAGCACAACTCGTTTATGCATCCCCCCCCCCCCCGCCCCCCGGCTAAGTGATTGATTCATCGATCGGACTCGGACCGGTGGTGACCTGACCTCGGTCTGAGCATCTCCATGTTCACGATTACTTTGAAAATGGAGTCGTTTTGGAAGGCCTCGTGGGGACTAGGTAAGGTAGAGACGCGGTTTAGTTTTGCATCTCCCACTTCAACTTTCGGACACGGGCGTTTCTTCCCATCTTGACAGCGCACAGCGAATGCGACGGACGACCTGGACAGTTGTCCTGAGCATTCAGTAGTACGCACGCAGTCTGACAGCGGGTCTAAGCACCGAGTCAACCATGCGCTGTTATCCGTTCCAGAACGTTTGGAATTGAGCCCGTAAACTCTCTGCTCGAATCATGTCATGATCTAACCATCTTCCAACCTCGTTGCAACCACAAGCGGCACTTCGGACTTTGTTCCTCTTGAAAAGACGGACGAGTGTCTGCACCTCTTTTATCAATCTGGTATCCTAGACGACAACCCCCGCCCTCCTTACCCAGAATAGCTTACCTTCTCTTATGTCAGCCCATTCTACGAATACACTGGTTCCCATTCCAACCCCTCCAAAGCCACTTTACGCGGTTTTCCACGTCTTACCTAATCACTGGATCGCAAAGGGACCACCACGGTGCACACCCAACCCTCATTGGCTGCAAGAAAAGATTCTCTCATTCTAAGTGACCCTCAACACACAAGAGACACACAAACCCATTGGATATTACCTTACTGGACTGTGGGCTTTTTGCCGTCGACCTCCTTTCTCTCCCTTCCGTCGTGATGAAACCCCCAATCCCCCTCCGTCACCAACCCTCCCTCTTTTCACGAGCTTGCGCCCTAGCACGGAGCAACAATGCGCGCCGCCAGCCCCTAACGCCGCGACTTGTCCGGTTCCACGCCACGACGGCATCACCAGCAGCAGCAGCAGCAGCAGCAACATCCTGCATAGCCTCCTCCTCCTCGCGCACGTTCTGCACTTCTTCGTCACGAGGTAGTCCCTCCCCCACCAACCCCGCCACCGCACTACTCACCCGCTCCCGGCCCCGGCCAGCAACAACCATGCCCTCCCGCCGAACCCCGTCGCCGGTCATGTCCGCCGGTGCCGCCCAGACCCGGTCGGCCTGTGGATGCGCCTGCAGCGGCGGCGGTGGATGCGGCAGCGGCGCTGCCAAACCTAAAGGTCCGAGCACGGCCTACATCGCGCTCGGCAGCAACCTCGGTGACCGCGTTGCCTGGATCGAACAGGCCTGCGCCGAGATGGATCGCCGCGGCATCAAAGTGAAGCGTACCAGCAGCTTGTGGGAGACGGAGCCCATGTATGTGTTAGATCAGGATAGGTTCGTCAATGGAGTCTGTGAGGTTAGTGACACTCAATCTTTGAACTCTCTCTCTCTCTGCCTCTGGCTCCAACCATGGGCTCAGGGTTTCATCTGTGATATTCATGCACTTCTTGGAAGTGTATACATGCCAATTGACTTTTGACTGATCGGATGACATACAGGCCGAGACTGAACTCGAGCCTTTAGCTCTTCTTGACGAACTCCAGGACATTGAGCGCACTCTAGGCCGTAAGAAGCTCATTGACAAGGGCCCCCGCAACATTGACCTCGATATTCTCATGTACGGTGATGAGAAGATTGAGCATCCTCGTCTCAATGTGCCTCACATTGGTATTCCCGAGAGAGAATTCGTCCTGCGACCTTTGGCTGAGTCCGTCCTCCCCAACATATCTCTCTCAATAACAGCAACTTACACGCCCATCCCAGACTCATTCCTGAAAAGCCTCTCTACGCATCCAACCCCTGGAAACTCACCCTGGACTACCTCAACGAGCTTCCCCCCTCATCAGCGCCCCTCTCACCACTCACCCCCATCTCCGCCTCTCACTCCCCCCTCGCCGCCCTCACATCCAGCCGCCAAACCCACGTCATGGCCATCGTCAACGCCACCCCCGACTCCTTCTCCGACGGCGGCGTCCACAACCCCCAAAACCTCGTCTCGACCCTCAAATCCTTCGCCGCCGCCGGCGTCACCATCGTCGACGTAGGCGGCTGCTCCACCGCCCCAGGACGCCCCGAGGTCCCCGCCGAAGAGGAACTCGCCCGCGTCCTCCCCGTCATCAAGCTCGTCCGCGCCCTCCCGGAACTCGCCCACCTCGCCATCAGCATCGACACCTACCGCGCCTCCGTCGCCGAGGCCGCCGTCGCCGCGGGCGCAGACATCATCAACGACGTCTCGGCGGGCCAGCTCGACAAGGCCATGATCCCCTACATGGCGCGCAGCAACCGCACCGTCTGCCTCATGCACATGCGCGGCACGCCCGCGACGATGAACTCGTTGACGGACTACCCGGACGGCCTGATCCCCACCATCGCCCGCGAGCTGCTCGAGCGCGTCGCCGAGGCCGAGGCCGCGGGCGTGCGACGGTGGCGCATCATTCTCGACCCCGGGCTGGGCTTCGCCAAGACGGGGGCCCAGAACCTCGAGATCCTGCGCCACATGGACGAGCTGCGTTCCTGGCCGGGCCTGGAGGGGTTCCCTTGGCTGATTGGGTCCAGCCGGAAGAGCTTCGTCGGCAAGGTCACTGGTGTGTCTAAGCCTCAGGAGCGGATTTGGGGCACGGCGGCCACGGTCGTCTCGGCTGTCCAGGGTGGCGCGGACATTGTCAGAGTTCACGATGCCGTTGAGATGTGCCAGATTGTCAAGATGGCGGATGCCATCTACAGACATTGAGCGACCTTGGGGCACTAGAAGAATAATAAAATAGAACATGTACAACAACTGGGAATGAGCGATGGGTATAGACTTTCTGTATGATAAGATGGCAACAAAAGCTTTGGTTTCACGATCCCAAGGTCTTCGGACTTTTGATTCAGCTGAGCATTGTCTAAACAAGCTCTCTTGATTTACAGACAATATCTAAGAAATGCTATGGATATCTCTTGGATTATTCCGACCATCGTAGCAGCAACAACCAACAACCGCCCACTACCTAATTGGGCTCTGAGGATTTGCGCATACGCCTACACAGTCTGGCTGATGGATTACCAGTCCTCCTCTCTCGTACCCAGCTCATTACTCTTATAGATAGCATCCAACATACGATGCCTAGTCAGCGCAACCTCAAAATCCGGCGCCTCCCCAGGTCCCCCCACAAACGCCTCCCAAGCCTTACCAGTATTATCTGAAGGCCCCTTGACCTCATCCACCTCCACAACCTCCAACACAGCGCCCGGCTCAGCCTTGACAAACTTGATCGTCGGCGGAAACCCCTGAATATTCCCCATGGGACCCTCAATCAGAATCGTCCCCTTGATGCCCGTAATTTCCCAAAAGGAATCCTTGTCGACCTGGCTCATACCCCCCTGGCAAATCGCCGTCGCCACCCCGCCGCCGGGAAGCCTCCCCACCACAGAGAGGTGATCGTGCGCCGTCTTCTTAGTCTCACCCTTTGACTTCCCCTCGCCGTCGGTGACGACCACCCGGGGCCGGTTATTCGCCAACGTGGCCTGTATCCCCCTCAACTCGCACAGAACAAAACACAGCGCGTCCAGAGCGTGGCCCGCCGAGATGGATACCAGATTCGCACCATTCGAGATATCGGCGCCGTACACCGCCGCTTCGGGGAACGTAGCCCCGAACCAGGGACTCGTAAACAACATCGTCGTCTGCAAGATATCCCCCAGCGCCCCTTGCTCAACGAGCTCCTTGGCCTTGAGGGTAGCCGGGTCCTGACGCCCTTGCAAGCCCACCAAGGTCCTGACGTTTCGTTCTTTGGCCAGGGACGTAAGACGCTCTGCCTCGGCGCTGTTCCGGGCGAGAGGTCACTCGCAAAAGACGGCGCGTTTGCCGGCGCGGATGGCGGCTTCGACGGCCGCGGCGTGGAGGTGGACTTTGATCGTCACGGCGACGAGGTCGACGACGTCCGGGTCTGCGACGAGGGCGTCGATGTCGCCGTAGGCTTTGGTGTCCTGGGGAAGGTTGTGGAGTTGTATTGCTTTCTGGGCTGTTTCTTTGGAGCTGTTTTGGAGGGCGGCGAGGGTGTAGGTTTTGGAGTGGGTGAAGTAGGGGAGGTGAGCGGCGACGGCCCAGGACCATTCGCTGCGAGTTTTGTTAGTTGTCGTGAAGTTGAAGAACAGAGAGGGTGGGTGGTTCGTACTTACGGTCCGGATGAGAGGCCGATAAAGCCGACGTTGGTCACTTGGGGAGCCATTTTGGATGATGAGAGGTCGTTGTTGGAACGGTTGAAATGCTAGACTAGGAGTTCGTTTGGATTGAATGAACTACAGAGAGAGGCAGCTTCTTCAGGCGATTCGTCTTGGCATATATACCACATATTGATGTATGCGCCATAATCTAATTCATTCATCGCGAAGCTTCCCATTCTAGTCTTCATAGATCTCGTCAGCCAACAAACGTTGATCAACGTTACCATTCTGCCGTCTGTGTTCGTGGGTAAATTAGTCATCTGGAATTGGCGGTTTAGATCATTGAGCTGGGCTTAGTCAAAAAGCTTAAATATAAGTCCGCCATCTCAACGTGGGTTCAAAGTAAAGTCGGTTCAATTGCCGTCATGCTTCAAGTCAGGTAAGGTGAGTGGGTAAGAAGGCAAAAACAGTCATCGCGATTGAAGGAAATTCCGGGCTCAGTGGTGGGTATCACGGTCTTTGGCCGCATGTACGTCATTGAATTGGTCACTCGTTATTCGAAACCTAAGGGATCATAACGCAATACCTGCCCCAACTTGGGCGATGTCAGCTTCAGATCGGAAACAGATGGCTTCGTGTGGTAAGTCCGAAATGACGGGAAAGCCCCATCTGTTGCAAGGCAAGTTAACCCAGCAAGCAGCCAGACCAAAAGTTCCGAGCAGGGCGTTGGATCTCATCACGTTATCCGTAGACGAGCAAAGGATAGGAGGTTTCTAATCGATGACTGAAGAGACTGACTACACATAGGTACGGGGGTGTTGCTGATTACAGCTTTGGGATACATCCACGATACGTCCAGCAAGTTTTCTAGAAGACCATCATTGGGAAAACCTGGGCTTTGCACATATCACATGCCAAACCACTTCTTTCAAACTGAAAGCTCTGGGGAAGAGGGGGGTTTCCACCGCGCAGTCGATTGGACACACACATGGACGACAAAACATCGGACCAGGATTCGGCAGCAAGATTTGCGAATTTCCAATGAACTCTTTTATGAGAACAAACCGTAAGACTTGGAGAACGATGTGTTCTAGGTGTAGTTCTCAATAGGTGCAAGTGTCGGGGTTCTGGATCCTCGAGGAAAGTTTGGAGCAATCATCTACCTGCCGATCCCAAATCCCGAGTTATGAGGTTCAGTCGAGTTCCGTTTCGAAGGGTAGACGCTACAAAACCTCACTTCTTGAGTGATGGAGAACGCCTCAATGGACCAATACTATGGCATTTCCGTCTTTGCTCGCTCGGTATGGCTCGAAGGTCCCAAAACGAAGACTGACAACACCACCCATCACGGCCGAACGTGACAGAATTACCGAATCCTTTCCTAAGCCTCGACGCTGAAAGAACGCATAGAGGACCAGACAGTGATATAAAATTGCGAAGAGCTGCAGCTACTACAGAAGCCACGGCAAAACTCGTATTCCATGACTTAACTACACAAGTCGGAAGAGTAACCTCAAGATAATTTCATACAACCGCTCCCACAACATCTACTCAACGTTCTTGGTAATTGGGACAGGCCAAGGCTGTAAGCACCGCCATTGAAAGAGGAGAAACATAGAGCTTCATTCCATCTTCAGATTGTAGGTCACTCAACTTTCTCCACATAGTGTAGGTCCCATCGTCACCAGTCTAGGTTGGCAGAAACGGCTAGCATTGCCGAGGCCCATGGGAAACTGTGTTTCTAACTAGAGAAAGCTTGCTATTGAGGTCTCTCTACTTCGCCGCCTTATTCTTGCAATTCGTTAAAGATAGCAGATTGCATAGTGTTATCTCAGAAACCTTTGAGTAATCCCACCTACACTGGTCACGGGAAGTGTCCATACGGCTAAGTGACTACCCGTTCTCTTTCGCCGTATCTAGGATAGATCCAGCCCAATCCAATCAAGGACTACGAGTCTCTTGGACGTTGTGTAGACCTAGAACTCAGAGGGTAAAGAAGTAGCGTCTACTAGACAGGATCGCCGGTCTAATACCCGCGACCGGCCTTCTAGTGGATTCGAGATGTGCCGTCGGAACCTGAAGAGGCAGCTTTCACGAAAGTGAGGAGCCAATGAGTTTTTTTGCTCTCTCTCAGATCGATATCATGACAGAAAAACGCGGCAGATTACTGCAAGCAGAGAGATCTGGATTATCGTGAGGTATGATTCCATCCATGCGATGTAGTAAAGTTTGGCCACAAGGATAGTTTCCAGCCCGAATCTTTGTTAGATTTTCTTGGAGTTTTTCTGCTGCTCAAGATAAAAAGCCCTGACTATGGTGACTATTTAGCTCAATGCTTTGAATCTCCTCGTCTTCTCGGATTGATTATGCACTTGAACTGGTCCATGACTTCGTGTCCAAAAGGCGTCGTCAGATTTGATGCCGCCTACTTCTCTTCGGCTAAGCCTGATAAATGCTGCGCTTTATAAAGACCCAAATCCCGGTCTGGGTAGAGAAACACGAGACCTCAGAAGTAACTGGCGAGTTGTAGGTAGTTTTGGCTCCTCAACAACGACGCTGATGACGAGGATAGATTTGTGTAGTATACGACATGCTCCAGGCAGAAGTCTCTCACTTCTCACAAGGGGTTTCGAGGTTGCTCTTCAGTCACTGGAACCCAGAACGATGAGATGGTGGCTTGGATCAGTCTCCTGGATGCACGATCCGTGAGAAGAGGCTTTGAAGAATGGGGGGTTAAAGTTGCCTTATCTCTCGCCAGGTTGATTAGTCTTGAAGAAACAAGCATATAAGAGTGACACGTGGTTGTCGAGCCTCTTGGCCAGATCAGACAGGTTTTATCCCTCGGAAACAAAACTCGGAGGCGGATATAAAGATACCAGTCTATCTACAGGTTACCCTGAACACATCAGAACGCAGGATGGCTACGTCGGAGACTTCGTTTACACTTGCGACTCTTGATGTATCTCCGACCTTTACTTGGGTATTCTGAAGACGTGTTACTATCTATTCTTCAATGAGCCATGTTGTTCTTCAAGTACTCTACTACTAAGCAAGAAGGAAAATGGACAAAGTTGTGGCAGCGAGGCAAGTCGACGCTTTTCTTAACCCAGATACCCCGTCACTTGAACGGCTCCTGCGTATTGGCTTGAGCTGTATTCTTGGGGCATGGCGTCATAAACTGTCGCCCGTGTTCCTGGATCCTCACAACCATTCCAAAAAGATAGTCACCGTGGATGCAGGTCTTGCAGAATCTGATATCAGAGCAAAATGCCCAAGTGAAGCTCAACCTCTTCTCGAGCAAGCGGATCGTACTACAGACGAGCTTGAAAGAAGCTTCCGCCACCGCCCAAAGCCCCAAAAAAGCCTCGGCGAAGCCTCAACAGCACATCAATATCAAACTGATGCTCGCGGAGTCGAGACAAGCCTACCATGACAGTAGTGAAAGGCATAATTAGGGCTTAAGAACCCCAAGAAGCATCACCTCTCCCCGTAGTTGCTGCTACGGCGGCAATGAATGGGCGATTGGGCCCCATATCCACCCTTGACGTGACGATTGACGCTGTAGCTCCTCATCAGTCAACAACAGGCCGGTATTATCCATCCCGCGGAAGTATAACAGCCGAAGTTCGGGTGCCTCGAGGTATCTGACAACATTCCCACCGTGGACTCAAAGGGTAGGTGACAAACCAATCCCTTTTGGGTCCCCTGATTTCCCCTGAGACACAAAAACAGGAGAATGAGTCTTGTCTTCTTCCCCATTGCCAGGGACAAGGGATAAGGACTGAGACACCGCGGTTGGAAACACACAGTCGCGCAGATGACAGTGAGACCGTCACGAAATCTGATGATGAGGAAAAATACCGACTTACATGCAAGCTTGACCCGAAACCCTTCAAAACAGGGAGCCGACAACCCACAAACCACATGGCGCTGTTTTCCTTCGTCACCGCTCCACCCGTGACCCAGCCACAGAAACGTTGCATTCTTCGGCAAGAGGGATGGGAATGGGAACGAGAACGAGAACGAGCGGGAAGACGTTTTCCGTCCTCGGGCCTAGGTAAGCCCGGTGGAGGGCAAGGGAAAAGAAAAGAGGAATGGGGCCAGTAGGGCAACAAACCCGAGTGAGTAATTCATGACGCAGGCCGTAAATGCCCGCTGCTGTGCACCCCTCGGCCCGACGAGATCACAATCAGCCACCATCCCTGCCGGCCCCATTCGAGCATGCCTGGATCGTAAGAGTGGCTGCCCCCTCGAATGGTCGTATTTTACTCGCAAAGCCACTCGGATTCAGCGATGCATAGCAACGCTCGATCGTATAAAAATGTCACGAGGTGGCTCGTATCGTCGGTGGCTTCTGGAAGGAACGGCATATCGTGGGGTGATGAAATAGATCAGGCAGATCACCGGAAGAGGCACCCAGTAGGAAGGTTCTGTGGTATCGTGTTGCCCAGAGAGCAACATCATCCGCAGATTCGGTGCAACTGCGCGATGCAGGGATCTGGCTCTGAGTTTCTCAGGGATTATACGGCAAATCCCTAAAGCTGAAGCTATAACTCTTGCCAAGAATGATCGTGGCATTCGAGGAACGACAGGTGCCTGGGAAGCGCCGGAACTCGAATAAGCACCACGAGCTAACGACAATCAAGGAACGGAACGGGAGGTAGCTTGGCAAGGGAATCGCCCTAGACACAGTGTGGCGGCAGTTCAGGTGCTGCCAAGCTCGTTTGCGGAAGCTTTACCGCAGGCCGGAAGACGCGTGGCCGGACTTCGTCGATTCGATGAAACATTAGGGTAAGAGGGTGGCACGGTGGGCAATGCCAGCTGAAAAGAAGGAATGGTTCCCATCGTGCCGTCGGTACCATGTCACCATGTCAGCGGATGACGGCGCGGTGAAGGAATCCAGAAGTTGTGATCTGCATGTACTTCGTAGTAAGACGTAGGGAGAATGGCATTCCATTCCTTCCAGGAGCCGTGAAGCGCGAACGTGCCAGGTTGTAGGGGTCAGACGGGAGGATCTCTGAGGATATCCATAAGGCTGAGGAGGATTGAAAGTTTGTACAACCAC